AACTGGTATTCTGCAAAAAAAAAAAACTATGTGGTTTGTTGGTGTTGAAGTAGAGCAAGAGACGAGTGCACCCCCTCCTAAAAAATCCGCCCCTGTCAAGGTTTTTTTCAACTTTTGACATGGACAAGTTAGGGAAAATCCAACGATACCACTGGACAGATCGCGTTAATCAATAGTAGTAAAAGTGCCAAATTTGAAAGTGATACATCTTAACCGAGCGAAGAGAGCTCCGCAAAATTGGGAAAATTTACAGACGTTTATATGGTGTGTATACTTTGGCATATTGTAGTCAAGTATAAGCTTAAATTGTACCGCAATTTTGAGCACAAAGGAGACAAAGCAACAATGCAAATACTTAATTTAAAAACGAAAACTATTACAAGTAAACATTCCATCCATATCATATCATTACCTCAAACAATTTCCGCAGACTTTGTCCTTTTGTTATATTATGCCTACATCTATCAGTATTTTCTTATTCCCGTCCAAAGTTTCAGTGCTTGTACATTTTCAAGAATCGTTGTTTGTTTCCAATGCAAACTTTCAACGGTTTGGTCTTACATTTTCCTGTTAAATGGCCCAGACAGGAAGCCAAAACAAAACTACATTCACAGCAACAAGAAGCCACGGGTGCATGTACGCCGACGAACGGCCGTCAGTCAATGCAACGAGACTTTTTTGGCGCGTTATCACAGGGACTTTGCGCTGATTGGCTAGTTTGCATTGCCTATCGTATTTTCTGGCATTTGATTAGATCAGACCAGCTATTTTTTTTTTCTTAAAAAGGACAGCTTGCCTGTTTGTATAGGAAAGTCCTGTCTGAAATTATCCAAATTAAATCCTCGTAAAAATTAAAGGATAGTAGCTTTGCTGACAGTATCGGATTATCTAACAGCTATATAATTATTAGGGAAATAAAGGCATGAAACGACCGATTCGGTTAACTTTGCCTACTCTGGTACAGTTTTAAAGAGTGCAAGGATTATTTACGCCCATTTAATTAAATCGCCGAAGCAAATAAATCTTTTGTAGACCAGAATTGAAGATTATACTGATTAGAAGACGGTATGTAGTAGTTACGATTTCTAATACGATTTACTAAGTACGGTTCCCTATAAGGAAAATGCACTGGAAATCAATGCAAAAAAGAGAGAGTAAAGTAAAAAATAAACAACCACAAAGAAAAAAAAAATTCTTCTCTAGAGAAACAAGCACCACAGTCATATATCATTCTTAGAGGGAAACTTTTTGCGGGTACCAAGTCGCTCTGGAAATTGCATCGACAGGGTTGCAAGAGGGATAAGTCTCAACGGTGTCACCGCCCGGCAAGCGAGCCTAGCGCTACTGTTAAAATATTAACATTGCACTGATGATGAAATATCTGTCTAATGTCACTCAGCACCTTCCCCTTGTGAAAAATCCGCCGGCCTGGATGTAGCATTTCTCGTGGATCGCACAAGAAGCTTAGGAAGAGAGAACTACCAGCGACTTAAAGGTTTCCTTATTCAGATAATTGACGCCATGAACATTGGACCAAACGCTACTCACGTTGGTATCATATTGTTCAGTAAATACCCGAAGGTGTTGAACACATTTAGTGACTCCAGATACTACAAAAAATCAGAGGTACATTATCTGATTGAAGACCTTTCCGACAAACTGAAAGGGCGCACCTTCATCGACAGAGCCTTAGAAGCCGCTAATAACACATTATTTACAAAAGAGGGCGGTGACAGACCTAAATTTCCCAATGCGTTGGTTCTCTTCACCGATGGAAAAACCAACAAAGAGTCTAAACCTTATGAGGAAATCATCCCTTCTCTCAAGGTGAGTAATGGAGCTAAACTTAATTTCCAGGCACTTCTTCTGGTCTCATACCCAAACACCTCTCAATCGCTAGGTTGCCTTAAAAATTATTCCAGACTAGCCAGTCGAACATATACAGTAATCATTGCACCTTATCAGTCTCTAACAGGCGCTTATCTGGATCAAAATTCAAGGCAACTATCAAGGGAGCAGATATTCGATTGCAATACGTTACGCCCTGACTTAACAAAAGATAAAAGTCGTATAACTTCTTTAAAACATTTGTTAAGTTGATATTCAAACACATTTATTTTCTTAGATTCCTGCAATAATTAGGACAGACTCGAAGGAAATTCGATACCCTGTTTAGGGCGGAGAGGACTAAAAGCTGTCCTGCTGCACATCCCCGTACAGGCCATATAAGGGAGTACAGCCCCCGCGGAGTAGCCTAATCACTATCTTAAAGTTCTGATTACAATACGCTTGTTAATGCTTCCGCTCTTTACTTAGGCGAAAGGAGTTCGCATTACTGCTCTTGGAATAGGACCCAATGTTAAACCAGATGAACTGAAAAGGATTGCTGGAGACAACTATAACCGCTCAGCCACTTTCAAAAATTTGCCGGACTTTTTCACTCAAATACTAACCCAAACATGCAGTGAGTGATTTCAGTTTTCATCTCCTTATATAAAATTTTCTGTTTTTTATTGTGATTTGTTCTTTGAAAAACTCATTAAAAACCTCTGCAGTTGATATTTTCTCAATTATACATCGCCTGGCTTATTTAAAACTTGCCCGATTTCAAGGAGTTTCGTTTATTGTTTGAACGTTTGTCAGTAGAGACCTTAAGATTATAGGACAAGGATAAATCTTTCAATACTAAGTGGTGCTCGCGCGTGAAACAGCATCATTTTGGCGGGAAAACGTTAACGTGGTAGCCGTCGTCATTCTACTACAGGGTTAAGCGAGAGGGACCTTAAGATCTTATGATGGCAACGGTAATGAGAACGTCAAAAAAGCAATTTAAGAATGCATCACGCTTTTTTGTACATTTCTTTGCCTTCACTACGCAACTACGACGTGAAAATGCCTAATTTCACGTTTTTCAGATACAGTATATAGTCCTTTTATTGGTTTTCATTTGCTGCTTTGTTTAATTCATATAGGTGTTGACGGCCGTTTTTCTCGCTGGAATTCTTGGTCTAAGTGCAGTGCGTCATGTGGCTTAGCTGGAGTACAAAAGCGCACCAGAACATGTACCAATCCTCCTCCACAGGGGTATGGTAAGACCTGTACGGGAGATTACGAGCAGAGCAGAAGCTGCAATACAAATCCTTGCCCAACAGTTCAACGTAAGTATTCATGATTGGTCCTTATATACATTTTGGCTTATAATTACTTGATATGAATGCTATAATATAGGGACGATTATTGAGAAACTTATTTCAATCCTAACGCATAACAATATTGTATTGTCCTTAGACTGCTTGCAGAGCGTCTTTTCTCTTAAAATCCGTTGAGCAGGAGCAAAAGCATTTCCACCCTCACACTTAACCTCTTTCGTTGACAAGATTCTGTCTGTCATTTATCTTAAATTAGGATTTAGAACTGTGGCTAAAAAAAGTGAAACTTAATATGCTTTACCCTCTAAATGTTTTTTTTATTATTATTTTCGTCTTTTTCTCCGTATATTCTGACACACAGAGCCTGAAAGTCAAGACAAAGGAGCAAATGGAGTTATCTTGCCACAGCTTAAAGATTTGGAGCTGAGTGAAAACCACAGTGGAACATTAAAGTAATGTGGTAGGTGTGGTTCACAGAACCAAAGAGCAATTGTTGTATCAAATAAGGGTTACTTTAAGGCTTTCCCTTTCACAAATAATTGATAATTGTTCTCTAGATTGGTCTCGGACTGAGAATTTAATATGATTTGTCTTAAAGGGAACATTTTAAAAACCATTAAAACTGTTTTATTTTTATTTTCTCCCTCCAACCTTTAGCGGCAAAGTTTTAATTTGTTTTAATTGAAGGATTAAAGAGTCATTCAATGCAACAGTTTAAGAGCTCAGTTTTTCCTGCTACAGTCTCCTCAACTGTGATCAAAAGTGGATAAATATTGGGTAGATTAAAAAAGACAATCTATGGAGTAGACATTACGTTAAGGGTCGAGTTGGGGGCGATACGTAGGGGGAGAGAGAGGGATAAAGATGCGCCTGTCCCGCGGCTAGCGTGAAGAATTTTAGCGCTCGCCTCCACACCTACAAGCGCCCCACCCTCACGAAAAAAATAGACGCCTGCAACACAGGTTACGATTGAAACTATTTTTATTTCATTTTTATTATTTATTTATTTTGTCATTTTAGGGTGGCTCTTCAGTCCTGGATTTTCATGTGGCTGCTATAAGCTGAAGGCTCCGAGGACAGCAATCACTAGGCCTAGGAGAAACACGCATTTTATTTTATACTTTTTTCATGTTTTACTGCAATCTTTGCACTGACGCTAACTAATGGCTTGTTTGCGAGCACGGAGCATTTGTAAAAAGAATACACCTTGCACAAAATTATATTCATAAAAGAACATTGTGTAATGTAACATTTTTCAAATCACTGCGCAGGATGAATAAAAAAAAGGAAATCATCATGTGGCAAACGTATGAGTTCTCGTTCTACTGTTATCTGTTACATTATTAGTACTTAAATTCACGGGTCTCTAATTTCTCGATCGTTTTCCGCGATAGTGGAAAAATCGCGAAATTAAAGTCCCGCAAACAAAAATCCTCGAGAAATTTAATAGCCACATAGAAAATTCAAATCACAAAAAAAAATGAATAGAATTTGATAACTACAACATACACTTTACATGATATATGTGTTGGCAAACACCGACAACTTATTATATTTAATAGCTGATTTTACTGCTACGTTCCATTCCGTGACTGTGTCCTGATCTTCTGTCCCGAAATAACGTTAAGCTACGTGCAAATGGACGTAACCTTGTTGGATGTGACATGTTGCGTCCGTTTGCCTACCCTGTTGCATTTTGTTGAGTGTTGTTGGGAGTTGTTGGGCTAAGTTTGAACCCAGTCAAACTTTAAGCTACGTGCAAACGGACGCGACAACTCCCAACAATGTTGCGTCGGTTTTCACGGGGCTTTAATGCGTTTTGCTTGATTCATTTTATCTCGAGATTTCAAAAAGTTCAGAGGATTGAAAACTAAAATTCATCTATCATGACTAAAGTCTTGGTTCCCAATGGTGGCATCGACCGTTTACGAAAGAAAATTAGGTGTCGGCGAGGCTTTTTTACTTTCCATAAACGGTCAATGCCATTTTGAAAGGTCGATACCACCTTTGTTAACCAAACCTTTAGCCGTGATAGATGTAATATATCCCACTCTCAATAACATGTCAAAGATTTTCTATGTGTCCCAAAAATGTCAGCGACCGTTTACGAAAGGGACAACTGCCTCACCGACCAGCACTTCATGCATCACCTCACTAGTGATGGACTAGAAGACTTTTGGCATCCAGAATAATGGGGGATACAGTTGAATTTAGTGGCTAACACGTGATCCTGAAACATCCAATGAAAGCCATCGATTGATCAAAGGATCAGGAAGTTATACAAAACTGATAAAGTTATTTTTAAACGCATTTCTGAAAAATTCCAACAAATCAGGAAGCAAACTGAGTTCCTTCTGAAAAAAATGGACCTCAGCCTACGATCAATTGAATGAATTGTACACCTGAGCCCACGATACGATCATGTGACACTGGTCAACGGATACCATATTTTAACAGTTAGCGCTCTCAATTGACCATAACATGGAGGTCCAATATCAAGTTAACCTTTTAAGCCCTAAGAGTGATCAGCATCAAATTTCTCCTTGTAATATCAATATCAGTGCTTTGTAAAACAGAGTGGTCATGAGATTGACGGACTTGATCACACAAGATGATTTTGCTTGATAGTTTATCAACTTCTCCCCACTATTTCTGTGGGAAATTAATAGGGGCAACAAATGAGAATTCAAATTTTGATCTTAGGTTTTAAAGGGTTAAATACCTATTGTATATACCTTGGACTCCAAGCTAGTTTGACATTTCACATCCGCAGGAGCCGACTCCCGACATCGGCTAACATGAACCTACCTACGGACCATTTTGTCACGACCAAAATTTCTTAGGCCTTGTCCACACGTATCCGTATTCGTTTGAAAACGCAACTTTTTTTCTCCGTTTTCAAAAAAATTCGCTTCCACTTGTAACGTTTTCGCACCGTTTTCGCCTGTCCACACGTATACGATGAATAGATTTGAAAAGGATAACTTACCCGACTGCACATGCTTGACGCATACGTGTTCGCTATTATAAAAATATAAGGCGCCATCTTTGAATTTCTTTGGTCTAGGTTTGACCTTCTTTTCATCTTTTCAAAGTCGCAGAAACAGTTTAAAATGTCAATATCAGGGCAAAAACAAAGTCAAACTAAAGGGAGAACCAACCTTTTGCCTCTTGACACCGGTAGCGGAAATAACCTGATAATGTTCTGCCGCCTCCTGGAATGATCAGCTTGAAGAATTAATAAAGCTAAATTTTCCTGAAAATAAGCAATTAGGTTAGAAATAAGCCCAAGTATAAAAGAAAAGAAAGGGAAGCGCCCGTCCGCCATCTTTAATAAGTTTCTAATATTGCGCGGAGTGGACTTGAACTGATACTGTGTTCTCAGCGTTGTCAAAAAGATTCGTTTACTTTGGTCTTTTTCATCGGATACGTGCGGACAGAAGCTGTATCCGTAGAGAAAACGTTGCGCTTTCAAATGAAAACGGATACGTGTGGACAGTGCCTTAGATGCATAGATAACCAAATTTTGTACCCATGGTGCGCGCTTGAGAGCTCCGGTTTAAATGGCGAAAAGTTCTATTTAAATTTTTGAGAAACAAAATAATAATCCCACTAGGGATTCTGGGATAGCATTCGAAAAGACTGTAAACCAAGAGCCAGGATTTAAACCCTTTTCTCTTGATAACCCAACATTCTTGCAGGTTTATATGACCGTGAAACTAACCCATGTGTTTGCATTATAAATTGATATTCCCAAATAATTATTGTGGTTAAAGTATGTTTTAAAAAATAGCCTATTATTAAAAGGTGTCATGAGGCTGAGGGATGTTTGCATGAGAGAGATGGAGATTGTTTATCTGTTAGTTGTAAGAAACGGATCATTTCTTAAAAGCTTTAAATCGCACTAACGAACATATTTCATAAACCTAGCCTTAGTAAAACGAAATTCAGCAGAAAAATCTTAAAGATATATATATTTTTAATAACCTCATGACAAGCATATTCAACTCTCCGTCTCGATTGTGCTCTCTAGATACTTATTGTAGTCGACAACAAAATCAGCATGCAGTATTCGTGGACAACTGGGAAACTGAGCATCTTTCAGTAAAACAAATTTACCCCGGCTTTTGTGTCAATGAAGCATAAACCCTCAACTTCTTTCTGATAACATTTTAATTCACAACTTATAATTATATGAGACTCAATACACAGAATATTTAAGTAAACATGATGGTGACATTTCTTGCTAATATTTGCACAGTTCTTATCGAGCGTAACATAAACAGAAACACCAAGGAAATTAAATGTCCTTGCCCGGCGTGGGTGAATGGTCCTTTATACTTCAAAATTATATGAAAAAAGATAATAATTTATTATTCTTTTTTCAACTTTTCTTTAAAAGAATGGTGTACCGGCTCGAGGAAAACAAGGAAAAATTCACGAATTGAAAGAGAAAGAGAATTAATGGCGTTGCTGCTTAATGAAGGCCGGCTAAAAAAATAAATTTGTAAAATGACTTATTATAATCTTTTTATACACCACTGTGTTACGTATTATTCTCTTACATTTCAACGAAAGCGAATGAGTCGTGGAATTGAAATATTAGGATGGCTAAAATGCGTGGACATTATAGAGTTTTCTTTCCTTTTTTTGTTTCCTATACTTTGGAACATTATCATTCCTTAAAGAAGAAAATTCTGAGTTTTTCTTTCAAAAAAAACCAATTGCTAGCCTGAGTATTTTGAGCTTAAACTTGAACAGTTCGCAGTCACGTTTTCTGACGTTAGTATCCTATTGATACAGCAATAAAATTGAATATCTTATCGTCATGGCATTAAAATCATGATAAAAAATGTCTATAAAAATAATAATAATAAACTCATATAAAATGAAACCATTAACAGTTTCATTGATTTTATTAAACGAGATAACTTTGGAAGAGCAATTTAACTATGAACTGTCAAAGGGTGAAGAAAAAACACTGAGAGCTACTGAGGTTGTTGTTATAATTATTAGTGAGAAAAACAGAGCGTATGTTACAAGTTCCTTAATTTGATTAGACATCGTTTCTAACCTTTCTTTTGAAAAAACACTTCCATCAGAGGTATCCACTCATCAGATCGTTCGTAAATATCTCATACGGGTTATTACGTACAGTCTAAAAAATATGAGCAGATATAGATCAACTCATTCTTGCACTAATACTTCGAGTTTGAGTTATTTTGTTCTAAAAAAATTGTACGTTAAGTTTAGCCGTGTCTTTAACGGATAGTTATAAAGACACCCTTTTGTTTTTTCTTTATGAATTAGTAATGAGTTTGAAGTCTGAATATTTCCCGACCTGCGCCCCTTTGGGCTGTTCTTTCCATGTAATACAAAAAAAGTTTAAAAAACTAAATTGAAACAAGACCAATAATTTTAATAACAATAACAATAATAATGATAAATAACTATTAATAATAATAATAATAATAAATTTGATTTTCATTATCAGAATGAGATTGAGTGTGTGGCTATGGAATCTCAAGGAAAAGAAGAGATTTTTTTTGTTCAATCATAGGTAGGACTCTTTAGCTGTTAAATTTGCAACATTTACTAATATTTGACCAGTTGGTACTGATAAAATATACTGTAAAAACCGAGCCATTGAATTCGATATTGAATTAAAGAGGCTATCTTCACATCTGACATAACAACAGAGTAAACACTCATTCAATGGGGTAAAAAATAGATGGCGCATTTTTAACAAAGACTAGCTACAAGATTGAAATCTCGAGGAGATGAGATTAATCGAATCTTTTTTTGACAGCAAGTAGTCACATCCTAGATCTTCTATGTAGCACTACTGTAAACCTTTTTATCGTTTTAAGCTACGCTGAGACTGATTGCATTACAGTTGTATATGAACTGCTCATATACAAGCCGTTTAGTTATTGTTTCGCCTTAAAGGAACAGAGATTTGTAAGGGAATAATCGAAAGATATTGTTACAAAGCACAAAGCCAGAGAGGCAGCTTTATCTCTCTGTACAAAGTTCGGTTATTTTGCTCTTGTACTCCGATATCAAAAACACATCAGGAGTAGATTGAGCCGCCGGATAAAAAAAAATCTCCCGGAACAAGGAAGAAAACAGTTCATAAATGTGTCATATTTGTTTACTCCGGAAAAGAAAGGATATTAATAAAAAGCAGGCGGACAAAGAAACTACGGTGAAGTCAGAGGTGAAGAGACGAAGAATTCGTTTTGAAACTGAACGAGTTGGCTATATAGAGGGAATTCTTTCTTCAACAAGTGATGAGACCAGCTCAGTTTTTAGTTTGTCTCGAATTTATGGCAATTCTTTTGTTTCATGACAGAGGATTAGCGGAAGGTAAGATTGAAAATTCTTTGTTTTTCTTTAAACAGTGACAGAAATGACTAAAACTACTATAACATGGCCACCAGCTGAAAATTCTTGTGCCACTGCAAAGGAGATTTATTTTATTACATATATATTTTTTTGAATATGTACTTACAAAGACAAGATGTATTTGGATATTTTAAACCGTTGGGTGCCCACGATTTGTGAAATCGAGATTTGCTTGGCTTAGATAATTTTTTTAGAGCGTAGTGCTACTGTAAGCTGTCAATTCGTTTGTTTCAGGGCTTTCGAACTGCAGTGCCAAGGTTTTCGTCCTGGCCGAGTTGTTTAGTTTAAAAATCTGAAATTCTCTTGTTTTTGACATATGCATGGGAAGAAACTGAAGAATGAATGAATGCAGTCTTTCGTTTCCTTATTTGCTATGGCATAATGATAGCGAGAGGTTATAGAAAGTCTTTATATTTAATAGCATAAAAGCAGACTAGTTCTTTTTATATTGGCCTCTGCGCCAAATGCTAGAATGTAGAGAAAAAATCCATGAAGTGTATGATTTTCTTGTGCAGGTGTGATTTTATGGCAACGCCAACGCGCGCAGTTTCTCTTTTTCTTCTGATTTTGTCAGGGAAGTGCACACGCGCGCGATCGTCGAGCAGCGCCTTCAGTCACGCGCGTGGTTCACCGCAGTCAATCGAGAGAAGTTTTCAAAACCTAAGAAAATTTGTTACTTTCAAGTTACTTTCAAGGCTGAATGTTTAAGATATTACCCATACGCTGTTTGGAAGTTTCAAAGGCGTGAATAAGAATCTCAGTAGTTTGCGTTGATAAGTATTTCTTTATGTTGGAAATGGTGCGAAGATGATAAAAGGCTGGGCCCAGTTGTTCGAAGGCCGATTAGCGCTTAACCCGGGGTTAAATTTAACCCGGGTTTCTCCTTCTTGTCTTCAAAAGCATTTTCCCGGATAATTTCTCTATTATATTTAGAGATTTCAATCATCAAATTGTAGACAAACAGAATTAAAACTGAAATTCTTTTTAAGCTTTCAAATCTGAATTCATATCTCGCACTAACCCTGGGTTATCTTAACCTGGCTTTGAACAACTCGGCCCAGATTTACAAACATTGTTGACATGGCGAAGCATTGATATTAGAGTGGTTTGGAAGATTGCATGTGACGAGGGCTTGATTATGTCAGTTCCAAAGCGAAGCAGGGGTAGAGATTGTTGTGAATTATACTTTGAGAATAAGTAGAGAAGCTCGGTCTTGTCTTTGTTTAGTTTTAGTCTGTTCATGGTCATCCACTTATCAATGTCGGACAGGCATTCCTCAATCTTAGTGATACTGTTGGTTAATTCCATATCGTTGCTTGTAGAGAAAGAAATATACAATTGAGTGTCATGGGCGTAAAAGTGAAATTGCATTTCATGGAATCGTAGAATGTCGGCCAGTGGTACTGTGTAGAGTACATACAGAATCGGTCCAAGGACAGAACCTTGAGGTACACCGCACTTGAGCTCGTGAGACTGTGATCTACACTCTTCGATTATCGCAAATTGCGAGCGATGAGTGAGGTGGGAGCGAAACTATTCAAAGAGAAACCAGAGAGTATTTAGAGTACAATTTTATAAGGAGGATATCGTGATCCACAGTCTCGAAGGCAGCAGACAGGTCTAAGAGTAGAAGATGACACAGTGACGTTTATCAATGGCAACCAAAATGTCATTATAAACGCGCACAAGGGCGGTTTCACAACTGTGGAAAGGTTTATAGGCAGATTGTAGCGGCTCATTTAGCTGGTTAGACTCTAAATATTTTTGAAGACGTACTGCAACAACCTTTTCAATAATTTTTGAAATGACCTTGAGGTTTGAAATAGGTCTGTAGTTTGCAAGAACTTAATGATCTAAGTTGGCTTTCTTAAGTAGTGGAGATAGAGCAGCAGGTTTCAGAGAAGACGGAAAATGACCGGATTCCAGTGACAAGTTGACAATCTTCAGGATAAATGATAAAAGTAAATCGAAGTGCTGCCACAGTAGGGTGGCGGGAAGCGGATCCAAAATACAGGATTTCATGATAATATTGTTAGTAATGTTCGACAGTTCAATGTTAGATGGTGGTGCAAAATTTACAAGCTGACAGGTTAGTGATGAAATGTCTAGGGTTTTGAAGTATTCAGGAATTACAGGTGTACCGAGACTACTTCTGATATTGACGATTTTCTCCGCAAAAAAGTGAACGAATTTATTGGCGATTTCAACTGTTGTGTACTTTTTACGTGAATAAGCACGTAAATTTACGCGCGTACATAAAATAGAGGCAATAATTGGAAGTTCGCACGTAAATGTAAAAGTTGAACCTTGGTCAACTTTTATTTTTACGTACTACTTTTCATGCATTGCCTCAATATTTACGCGCGTAAAATTCACGTGTGTACGCGCACACGTAAAAATCACGCGACAGTTTCTAGTCTAACGCAGAGAATCAGACGAAATTGGCCATAAAAGAGAGAGGTAACTAATAAAAAAGAAGTATTTTTGGTAGGAAAATTGGAGATATTGGTGCTTTTTTGTTGTCACCATACAACTACGTGGGGTGCAGGCAGGTTTAAACATCCTAGAGTGTTATTAAATTTAACTTCTGTTCTTCCTTTGGATGTTTGGCCGCGAAAAAAAATGGCGATGAGCAGAAGGGAGGGGTGAGTCCTCAAGTATGGAAATGACGGGCTGCAAAGTCAACTGGTATTTTCGAGAGCTCTTTTCTATTCTTCTTACAGCTCTGAATCAAAAGCAGCCGACTACTGCTAGCGATGAAGGCTATAAACGTCTTTTATTTTTTAACTTTAACGGCGCGAGCTGGCCAACTGGTCGTCAGTCAAATGGGCATAAATTTTCTCGGCTGATTTCAAGACTCAGTTTGTTTGAATTCAAACACTACACAACTTTGGAGTTTTTGTACTAACATAGCAACATTATAAATAGACACTAAGAGGCAACATGAAGTTCTTGAAAGGTAACTGATCCGCTAAGCTGCTTGCCCGAGTATAACGCCTTCCTTATGCGTGTGGGAAGAGGAGATTTTAGAGGGGGGAGGGGGTTAAGATTTCTCCCCTTTTTGCTTCCCTCTTCTCATTTTTTATTTTAAAAAATCATGTATTCTATCAGCTCTCGACAACGTGGAAGACGCAGATGAGTGTATAGAGTATGAAAAAGTTGGGTGCTTTTGGGACTTTTTGGTAAAACCTCGCCCTTTGCCGTTGTTGGTAGAAAATTATCGTAGTACTTTTGATTGGAACGATCCTCGAGAAACCATCAAGAGGTAAGGCTTATTAATTTAAATGTTTAGCGTTTAGTTCGCTAGAAAGTAAAATTTAAACGCAACTCTGGGTTATTTAACAGACAACATTGAGAGAGATTTGAGACAGATTGGTATTTAACTCCTATTTCCCATACCTCAAGAGATGGTAATTCTATGTTGTTTCTGAGACCTCACTCTAGCTGTAACCAGCATGCCAATAGTTTCTTCCCAGGGTCTATAAATACTGGAACAAGTTACACGGTGATGTAGTGAATATTAAGGATAACGACATTTTTAAATCTGCCGGGCGCGGCCATCTTATTAATCAGGAAGAGTGGTTTTAATTTTTTATTTTTATTCTACTCAAGTGTTTATTTCATTAGAGGGAAAATTTAATTTTTTTAGTATATAATAATGTTATTTATGGATCTTTTTTATCACAATGTTATTATTTTTGTTAAACTGGTGTGATGCAGTAATTAACTGCCTTATTCGGGTGAGTTAATAAAGTAGAAATAGATGTCCCTTTCCTTTTCCACGAAAATCCCGCATTCCGAACTTCTTATATCACTCTCTCTCTCTCTCTCTTCCGAACTTCTTTTATCATCCGTGTTCAAATTTTGGCAAATCAAGCTTCCCTGTTATGGTCCCCAATAGGTTTTTCGGGATACGGGATTTCCCCTATTTGAAGCTCGGGATTCAGGATTTTTAAGCAAAATCAGAGTGAGATTGGAGAATTGAAAGGGTAAGCGGGAGGTGGGAAGCCAAAAATAACCCTCGGGATTACGGTATTGCACGAAGCTTTGGGTCAGGATTACGGGATTGAAGAACCTCCTCACTCGTTTTTTGGAATCAGCCATTTTTTAGGTGAATATTCGACTTCTGATTGCTTCCTGCCGAAAATAAACGGAAATGAATTAACTAACTATTAAGAAAAACCAAGCAAGATGATACAAGAACAGTAGTTTATCAAATTAAAGACGCCATAAAAATTAGCAACAAAGGTTCAAACTCGAAATAAAGTTTTTTATTGGGTCTCTAAGTCTTTTTTTCTTTTCTGTGGATCTTTTCACGAACATTCCTTCAAAAAAAAAAGGTCATAAGATAAAAAAAAAACACAAAGAACGATCACCATGATGTATCGTTAATTTTTAAAAACGTTACGGCAAACAGTGTTTTTTGGCCAAAATCTCTCTAATAAAGGGATTATAAAAACTAAGCAAGTGCAACCATTACCTTTTTTTCTTCCTCTCCTTCCTTCCTCCCCGCTTTTTCTTTTTCTCTTTCTTTCCAGTGTATTCGAGCTTTTCGGGCGCAAAACCCTAGCTAACTCAAATGAAAGCAAATTCGATAGGTTCGTTTTAAAACAATCGGCTAGATGTAGTTCCCTAAAGGTCTACGTAGAGAATAGAGCGGAGAATATGTTTTGCTGGATTTTTGAGAACGTTAGCCCCGAATAAAACTCCTCCATGAAGTCTATCTCCAAAGTAACCAATTTAAGAACTAAGAGTAAACTATTTGTTGTTGTTGTTGTTGTTGTTTTCAAATGACTAAGTTGCTTAACCCTTTAAGTCCCAATGGTGTCCAACATCAATTTTCTCCTAACCATATCCATTGATTGTCAAGAGATTTGGTTATGAGAATTAATAAATTGATCACCTAAGAGAAAATGCTTTGATCTTTCATCAAATTCTCTCAACTCATTCTTTAAGGAAATGTTTGGAGAATTTGTATGTGGATATTGGGGCTTTAGGGAGCTTAAGCAACAACGTTTTTGAGCGACGCACGTCAACCGGAAGTGGCCTTTTTTCATTTTTTGACGGTGGTTTCGCGCAAATTTTCAGTCAAATTGCCTGTATAACAGTAAACAAGCTAAGGAATACAAATTTTATATCATCAAGGCATGTTAAGAGGGGAAATACCTCACTTCCGGTTGACGTGCGTCGCTCAAAAACGTCGCTGCTTAAGCTCCCTAATGTGCCTTGAAAATTATCCACCAATGTAGAGAGGTCTCGAACTGCGCCAGAAAAATTTCCCAAAGAGGATATACTTATTTTGGTCTTCAATTCTACGGCGAATGTTGGAGCGGTGAAAACGCAACGAAGACATTTGACAGAGATGGAAGCACTGATCGTTGTCTCATGGTCGTCAATAACAAGGACTACGAAAAATGTGACGACAGTAGAGACGAACTGTGCGCAGGAATTGAATTTTCAAATTATGTCTACAGAATTATTCATGCAGGTATGCTGTTTCATTTTTAACAACTTCAACTTTCAATCCCTCCTTGATTTCACTTACTGGTAAATGAAATCCCGGAAACTAATATAAGAAAACGCTTTACGCGTTTGGCCGCGGTGGACGCGCACGATCATTTTCGTCTCTCACGCGTTTCGCCCGACGGACTAAGGGTGGATTTCCTCCGCTGAGTACTTTTTACGTGCGTAAGCACGTAAATTTACGCGCGTACGTAAAAATTACGCGACAAAGAAAATTCACCTTAAAAAAGGCAGACTGTTTCTAGTCTAACGCGTGGGGAATCAGACGAAATTGGCCAAAAAAGAGAAAGGTGATTGCTGAAAAAATAGTATTTTGGTAGGAAAATTATAGACATTGACGCTTTTGTTGTCACCATAACAACTTCAACTTCTTCATTCTTTTCTTTATACCCGTTTTTTGAGGGAAAACTATGATTTAAATCCTTAAACGATTATTTCAGTTTGTAATAAGGGGCAAAGAAATACACCCCATCGTATGTCCGAAAGAGGTCATTATTTAGACATAAGGGACGGTCTTTTCATGTGCATTGTACGCCACGCAAATAATTTATCGAGATACAATTCACGAGAGCCACGTCGAGACTGTTTTAAACCCGCCTGTTTACACGGCTCCGGACCAATTTTTTACCTGTGCAACCCGTTCGGAACAATACAAATTCTACAACAGTACTGTTGTCAGGTGTCCTTACACAGTTTTCCAAGTGTCAGCATTAGAATGGCCTTTTTTGTCGCTTTTTTGCCAAAGGCGCATAGCTAGACTCCGTTCTATTACCGCGTGAACTGTGTAAAAACTTGAATGGTTCAGGTGTTTGGTCCGCGTAAGAATGAATTTTGGCCTACCTCTGATCAGGTTAAACGCTTGCACATTTTGCCGTTCAAAAACTAGCGCGGTTCAGTCGGTCCCTTGTAAACGAAAGGGGGATCTTTGGCAGTTTTTTTCCGTTCAAAAATTCGTCAGGACCGTCCTGTGTTAATTGGGTCTTATGTTGAAAAAAGATTGAGGCTCTAGAAGCGAAAGAAACGGTGCGCATTTCGTGTTCCTAAAATTTCCGTGTGTATAACGAATTTAACAACGTACTCCACCCATGTTAATTCTTTGCACTTAGTTTAAGGCGTGACTAGCCCCTTCTTAAAAACGAAATTTTTTCACTAGACACGATTTTCTTTGTGAAGTAAATTTCGTAAAAAAATATTGACCACCGGAAAAGTGGTTTAATGATAATAATGTAGCTGTTTAGTAATAATGATACCTGTAGTTCTTCTCAAAGTTTTCTAGCCATCGAGTTAAAATCGAAAACACTTTGACAAAACGTTCGTCATAGTTCAATGCGCCTTTTTTTAGTGGCGGAGCCACTTCAAACTCTTAACTCCAACCTTCACTGGTAGCGTTGAAACCTAGTATCGAACAAGAATAATACTTTTTAATTCATTCGTTATTTTTTTGTTTTATGTTTTTGTTTTTCACGATTTTTTACCAGTTGGCGGTAATTACACTGTAAGGGGCACCTTTGTTCCTGTGTTACGTTAACGTTTCCATAATTGTTGCAGTTGATGGTATGTTTTCTGCCTGGTCTGGCTGGAGCCAGTGCAGCGCAAGTTGTGAAGAAGGGCAACGAAAAAGAACGAGATCATGCAACAACCCTTCGCCAAGCAAATGTGGAAAAAAATGCATCGGTAACACCGAGGAAGTTGTTCCCTGTAATACTCAACCTTGTTCACGTAAGATTTTTTAACTATGGTCATTTTTGGCTGAAACATTAAACAGCTTATTACCGACCTGGGCACCCACCCGATCTTCTCTTCCGTAGTACCCTTTAAATAGCAAGCCGTAACCGAGAATTATATATTATTTAGTGAAATTTGAAATATGTACAGCAATTTCGAGAAAGGTTGTCGGAAAAAGTGCACGCGCCAATCTCGAAAGGTATTGTGGGTGGTTTTGAGTTCACTGTTCTTCAAAGAAATTTGAGAGAATGGCACGAGAGACCATGGACAAATGTTTGCGAGTGCTAAAGGAAAGCAACAAAAGTAGGTTCGAAGGCTACAGTGTCAGGAACAGTGAATTGATCGTATCCCACATAATTACCTCTCGGGATTGTCGCGTGCACAATTTTTTCCGACAACCTTTCTCGAAAAAGGTGTATGCACAAGGAGCCCATGATATGCAGTACTCACGCAAGACAAGCTGAAATAAACAACATTTTTCTGGAGCCTCGAAACTCTCGGACACCCCTGCTTTCATTGACTGCTGATGTTTCAAGAGTTACAAAAATTGTTTGGGTCATTCGTCTATTGTTTCGGTTGTTTCTTGTTGTTGCGGAAGCTATTTAGCCCAATAATTGGATTCGGCTTTCGTACATAAATGTATGATCTGCAGAAACATGAAGATCACTAAGGGTGTTATGCACTGAGGTCAATTAGGCCGCCGAGGCGGATTATACCCTCCAAGATCTTCTTAGTTCTGCAGATCATCCGAGAGCAGAATCTCATAATTGCCTTATTATTCATTTAAAATAATTCCTAGTTTAGAAATAAGCTAAAACATGCTTACCTCCATCGAAAACTGGCGAGTGACCACTGTAAAATAATTCCAGTTAGGTACAGTTTGAAACTTCGGAGATAATTTCGCCTGCGAGCGAGCTCTCAGCAGCGCTCTGGCAGCACGGGGGGAGGGGGGAGGAGAGCTTGCAGCCACGTCTCTGGAATCTGAATTCCACTTTCAATTCCCATGTGGCTCCCCGTCGACTGAGCTTTCAGATTTCCGCCAATCAATGCGAAGCGGAAACGAGCACGAATGTAAACAAACATTAAAAAACACGTGCGCCAAGGGTAATGACGCCATTATTAATGTCATCTCCGCCAATCAGCATTTCGCATCTACTTTTTCGATGCAGATTTTCAAATTTCAGAGACGTAGTTGCATGTTGTCCTTCCTTTTCCCACCGCGACGCCAGAGCGCTCCGGAGAGCTTGCTCACGGGTTAGAGATAGTTTGAATCATAGTAAAACTGGCTCCAATAATAAATAAGCTTCCATGTGATTCCATTTTACCAGCACCAGAACCCTGTGAGGATACCAATTCAGACTGCAAACTTTATGAGGAACTGGGACTATGTAACAACCCAGATGTGATTAAAAACTGCAGAAAATCTTGTGAAGAATGTTCTTAATCCTAAAAGCTTCCGTATCCTGGTTTTAATGCAAAGTAAGTTTCACACATCCTATATTCATTCTTTCTTTTTTTTCTTTCTTTCATTTATTTTGCCATAAATCAAATAACAAATATACAATTACCAAAGCATATAAATTTAGTCCTTGGTGAAAGCATCTATAAAGTAAGTATGTGGCATGAGCGTGGCTATATGGCAAAGAAGCCGACATAGAAGCAGTAGAAGGCAAGAGAGAATATAGAGGGCTCATGAACTTAAGGCTTCCTAAGAATATCAAATATGCAGTACTACTACTACATGAAAAATTACTGCAATTTGATTGGCTTAGAGCAGTGGTATTTCAGCTTAATTTGAAATACCTACATGTGAAAATTACAAAGCTTTTGCGGGTAGTGGTATAAACAAATAATAGCATGATTTGTACCTGATGTTTGGCATAAATACCACTCGTGATAATTCAAAATTGTCTCAAATTTCACGAGCCGTTAGGCGAGTGAAATTACGTATAACAATTTCGAAATATCACTCGTGGTATTTACGCCAAATATCACTACAAATCATGCTATTACCTATACTAATATTAAACAAATAGACCGAAGGCCACTACTCTGTTCCACAACCTAAATGTTTAAATTTGCGACATATGAAGCAATACACGGTATCGAACAAAGACAACAAATACGTTCGCTGCAGAAAACAGAAACTAAGTAACATTAATGATATGAATAACTCTTAAAAAAACCAGAGCTGACACAAATGTTTAAAAAAGATATAAGATCGTAAAAAAATCCACCAATTTGACTAACTCAAGAGAGAATGACTAACTGCAAAGCAAGATGAAGGCTAAAAAATGGGTCCAGTCTTCCATACATAAAGCCCAATGGCCGATCAAATTTCAGGTGCCCAAGCAGAATCGCGAGAAGAATAGGCGATTTTCTTTTAACGAGAATTGTCGGCAAGCAGAAAAAATCATTTTTATTACTTGAAAATTTTTAAAAGCCCAGGAGGATTATATCCGGTGTAAGGAGGGGAGGGGGGGGCTGATAAAAAAGTTAATAAAGAAAACACTTACAACACACAGGGCTACTATTTAAACGTAGTTTAGCCAGTGTTTAACGAAACCGCATTCTCCCAACAATTTTATCTAAACATCATTTATTGTGAACAGTTTTATGAAAGCATCTGGAGAAGACTAGAAAAGTATTTATCTTCTTAAAACAACTCACCAAAGAAGAGATCTGGAGGTTCAAAGATTTGTTTAACCGCGGCTTCAGTTAGACTTTGTTTAAATATTTGGCCCATAGTGTTTTGCATGTTGATGGGAATCAAGGGGAGGGATTATATCCGGACTGTTTTCACGGGCAGTGATTTTGGCCTTTTCACATATTTCTTAATAACGCATCCGTCCGGTGAAACTGTAAAAGCACATGAGGGTCTGAATTTGTCTTTAATTTTTGATAGTGCTAATGCTGGACATTTTAAAGAAATAGTGACCAAAATGAACTCTTTCTTTTTTGATTATTCAGGCGAACATCACGTTTATCGATCGAACGATTTTCACTGGTCTGAAGATGAACACGTGTCCTGTCACTGTCTAAGGCAGAATCCTGGAAATGATACAACTCAAAAGTGTGATTGAAAATTGACTTTCAAGATTTAGACGTTGTAAATTGAAAGCGATGTTATTAAAGTGAGTTAATTAAAACAAAACTTGCTACGTTACTTTGTACAAGCTACAGATAAATTCGCCCCCTTTTAGATGAATTAGGTACAAAAGTCACTGTCAACAATGGTCCTATTCAGGACTACGATCACTCGGAAGATCATACTCAACATACTTATGAAATGACTCCCAGGTTCAAACCTTTCACAAAGTGAATTACATAAATCCGAAAATTGAGTCCACCCTTTTGTAGCGTATCATTAGAGCTTTAAAAGATCTAGAATAAGTTTTTTTTTCAGTTGACGCATCCATAACAGTACGATAATCCCATTGTTCCTTTTAAATTTCGACGTCACAAAACAAAACTGGCCGATAGTTCTCCAATTTGTTTCTGATACGCTAACCTTTGACTGCTCATGCAATAATCAACCCAGATGAGAACATGGAGGGTCTGAAAGGGATCAGTAATTCACTCTTAAAGATATCACTAATCTCGTCATATACAACTACCGGTAAACCTTTGAACTCTTGAGTGCATGGAAAAATTTTTTGCTGACAACGGCATTACGCTACATGCTCCCCTTACACAGTGATGTTGTAAATAAAATCGTTATTGTTACAGCCGGCGCTGTTTCTCTTGCATACGATTTATTAATAAATAGTGAAATTCTCGAGTGTTTCAGTTCCCCACCTTTGCAACCCTACTCTTTCATTTTCCCGCTATTTTAGACGGCAGCGTGGCCGAGTCACGGTTGACGCGTCTGAGTTAATCAAGTAGTCCTGGGTTCGAGTCCCTCTCTGGCCAATGTTTCTCAGTCTTACCGAAACCAAATCGTCAGTCATGCCTGCAAATAGACAAAAGGATGCCTCCTCGTTTTAAATCCTCTTATTTTATAGCTGTATTAGTCGTTTCAAAGTATTTGGTTGAGTACCTGTAAACTGGCTTGCAATTGAGCGGCTTAGTGAGCTTCCAATATAGTAAGAAGTGTGGTTTTGGGGAAGATATACGCAGTACGAACAAAAGCCGGAAACAAAGTAAAACATGGCGGGAAAAGTGTCTGCCTGCGTGACAGAAAAGCCATAAAACAAAGAGATATTTGCAAACAAATTCCAAGGGGAACGTAAACATAAACCGCTACATGGTAAACGACAGAAAGTAAAGTTAATTTACAGTGCAAAATTTAAGAAACTAAAAGATAAAGATATTCCGCAATTAGGCTGCGCCATAATTAGAAAACTGGTGAGAAAAGATAAATAATTAAGTTCTTTCATCCTTTTCTAAGGAAACAGGTAGTTTTACACCTATCTTTAGTTTGCTTTTAGCAACGGAAACAAACACTAAATAAATCCAACATCGAAACATCAGGAAGACTGAGCTAGTTATAACAGCAGAGTAATTATTAGGTCGATAAAAGGTAAGTAATATCTAAACTTTGCAAAAACAAATATAGGAAGTTAACGAGAGAATTCCTGGAAATACAGCCTAAGTTTTATGGTAATACCGTTTAATAATAAATAGCTCTTCATACGTGCTTGCATAATCACTATAAATAAAACGTAAGGCGCGTTGATTAAGGGCCTGATTACATGGAGGTGGGTCCGCTCAGGTGAGGTAACCTGCCTGTCCATAGAATCTCTTCCCACATATCATGTAAACGTGATCCAATTAAAATGAGAGATTATATGAACAGGCGGGTTACCTCACCTAAGCGGGTTACCTCACCTACCAGGAGCCCATCAAATGGAGCCTCCATCTCCATTAATTTCTTGAGTCAACTCTTTCCCGAGTAGATTTATAAATAGAACGGCTTATTTCCCGCGAACGAAAAGTGTCATATTTCCGTGAGTCTCGTATGTCACCGTGAAAAAATGAAGTTGGATGAAGTCGAACCCAGAAGCCCATCCTTTGACCGTTTTCCTTTTTTACTATACGTCCATTTTTACAATTTTACAAACGCTGGGATCTGGGTATCATGAAATAAAAGTTAATGAATTACCCGCTGACTGAGCATGAAGCGATGGGACAAAGGCAGCGAACTGAGGATCACGGAAAGGTCATCTATGCGAGTTTTTTTTTTTGCCGTCGTACATCCCACATTTAAACATGCACCTTGAAAAGAGTCGACCATTATTAAGCGTTCTGTGGACGATTTGGAACTTTTCGATGATCAGCGCCGAAAAAGTGCCAGGGCAGGATCATTTGATTTTTGTCATCACCGTGGAGTGGATTTCGCCAGTTAAGCACCGCGTGCAAAAGCGATGACCTAACTAACAACTAAGGAGGAATGCTTCAGTTCCAAAATTTGAGAAATTGCAGTCTTCCTTTACAACTGACTTGTATCACCGTGAGAGTTGCCTGATAAAACTGGCACTTGAAAAGTTGAATAGAAGACAACAGTTGCTCGACCGTGAAGCTAACTCAAAAGTAATTTGCTAACGGAGGAATTTGTGACATCGCGCTCCAATCCAAATACCCTCTTATCTCAAGAAAAACAAAATGGATTGTAGCTGCGCCAAACTGGAATTATGACTGACTAGCAGGACAATTCTCAGCAATTAATCTAGAAGTTTGGGCCAATTCTTTCCTTCGAATTCGCCCGGCTGTAGATCACTTTTTTGCGAGAAAACAATGGCTGGGCCCGGCGTTACAAAACATAGCAGGGATCATTACACTAGCTGACGGGCAAAACAACCACAAGGACTACAAGTATTTATTCAGATAAACGCATTTTGCAAAAAAAAAACCTGAAAAACTAGAAATTTGATTAACATTGAGTCATTTAGCCGACATAGGAACCTTAACGCTCAAAAAAATTGGCTAAAGAAAACGAATCCTGTCAGAACCACAGACTGCAGGTAGGAGTTAATCATTACGCATGTAACAGACCAGCTTTATGGTCTCTTAATGTGAGACAAGTAACCAAAATTAAGATTAACATAGTAAGAGTTTAAAACTCTTCACAGTATAATCTACCCGCTAGAAAGAAAAGAAAGAAAATCTCTGAGGGATGAAAACGCTAAAGTCACGTTTCACTAGCTTATGATTGTGTTTGGCCTGTCAACACCGAATTTCCTGCTGTTTGATAAAGTACAATAGCAGTGTCATTACGTCGTTGTGATTGGCTCTTCCCACCGTCGGCGCGCGAAGTCTCCCCTGGGAATCATAATTATAAATCTACTCGGGAAAGGGTTGACTCGAAGGGCTTGTATGGGAGATGGAGGCTCCATTTGATGGGCTCCTGCACCTACCTGAGGTCCCCCACCTCCTTGCAAACAGGCCCATAATTCTTCTAGTTTATCTGAATAGCGCATTAGTAGGACAATAAGTTAAATGAGGCAAAAGATAACCATTTTACAATCTCATTTTAACATAAAAATCAATTACATTTTTGTGCCTCTGTAAGACCTTAATTTGATTTCCAACCTTACGTACAATATCTGCAATATGCTTAGACGAGAACCCCCCCCCCCCCTAAATTTTTATCTCCTCAGTATTACCAATGACATAAGAGCCTATAAAGAACCTAGGGGTGCGTTTTTGTGGGAGAATCCAAAAACGGATTTGTGATCTCAGATCATATGGATTCTTCACTACCAAAAAAAAGAGGATCATTTACCATGACAACGGCATGTCCTCATGCTCCTCGTGATGAGGAGAATAGAGGAAAAAACAACAAACTGATCTGGCGAAGACAAGAACGAAAAGTAACATAAACTACGTATGAATATACGAAATGAATATGTTTCGGGTTGAAACACAAACGTTTCTCGAATAGAATACACTGGTCTACACTCCTTAGGATAATAAAATTAGAAGAATTTAAAACTGAAGCGCAGATGAATTGTTTTGTTTTTTTTTGTTTTTTAATTACTTGGAAAATAAACCGGTGTAAGCAGACACTACTTACGTACAAAAAACATGAAAAGTAAGAATTTCAAAACAGTCTACTAATGTAAATAGATGACTGGTGCAATTTTCGAAAATACTTTTTACAAATCCTTTCCCAAAAAAACGATCAGATTGTGAATCTCAAAAATGTGGATTTGGATTTGATCCAAAGAATCAACACAGAGTGTGGATTTTATGGATTCATGATTAGGATTTGGATTTTTCCAACAAAAATACCGCACCCTATGTGTATCCCTGCACCTACCAGCTACATGGCTGTAAATTTTCCCGGATTAACAATTAAACCATTGAAGCAAAACCCTTAATTAGCAGTAAGGATATCCGCCTGTACACGCGTGCGCAGTTGAGAAATATCATTTATTTACTGATATTACAAATTAGTATTACCAGCATATAAACTGAGTCTGGACTGGAACCCTGCAGTAAATAATAAACCATTTAGAAAAATATTAAAAAGGAGGGGACTCAATACAGACCCTGGTGGAATGTCCCTTCTAAGTGGGTTTCAGTCAGAGGACTTGTCAAATCATCATTTAAAAAAAAATAATAAAAAAAAATTGTTTACCTAATTTAATCATGAACACTGTTAAAAAGAAAAGTTTTTGATCTCGATTTAAAAGAGTCAACTGTGGAACACTGGTTGATTATAATGATTGAGTCATTCCAGAGCTTTTGTGCAATAACTGAGAAGGATCTGTTGCCATAGGTAATCGTTTAAGTCTTTAAAATAGACAGCAGGTTTAAGCTACTTGATCGTACTAAACGATGATGCGTGTAGTCAAATAGCAGCTCATTTAAATAGGCTGGAGCAAAGCCATGGAGGATTTTGTACGTGACCAAGAAAATTTTAAAAATAATTCTTTCACTGGGAGCCAGTGTAAACTCTTCAAACTGGAGTGATGACAAGCCGACATTTTGCTCTAACAGTTAGCCTCGCGGTTGTATTTTGCAATCGTTGTAGTTTTTCTAACTCGTAGGAGGGTAGGCCGTGAAGAATGCTGTTGCAGGAATCAAATTTTGATAAAAAAAACAAATGCACGAATAAGACGTTCCGTAGGAGATCCAGATGGGAAGTTCCTAATTTTTCCGATGTGGTGAATAGAACGTGAAGTAGAGCGACAAATGTTGTCGATGTGAGTTTTAAAAGTGAAAAGGCGGTCAAGTGGGACCCCAAGGCCCTTGACTTCACTACTTGGAGTGATTGAACAATCTCCAGTCTTGATGGCAGGAACTGGTTCAGGCGCTGTGTAAAACGTGAGGTGAATGATTTCAGTCTTCTTTGGGTTATCTATAAGCATGTTACCAACATTCCAGGACATGATATCTTGGATACGAAGGGCAAGATCCTGTAATGCGGTAGCACTAGTACGATTGCTTTGTCTCACAATAATGTAAAGCTGAGAATCGTCGGCGTATATCTTTGCATTTAAACCGTGAGCCAATAAAGAAATATGGAGAGAAAATAACACCGATCCTAAAACAGAGCCTTGAGAGACTCCACATGATAAACAACGAGGCTGGGAAGTAAGCTTGTCGAACACTGTGTTGAGGACGTTCAACGAGATAAGAAGTGAACCACTGAAGGACTAGGTTGGAGAAGCCATAACGATATCTTAATCTCTCAAGAAGGATCTCTTGATCTATTGTGTCAAAGGAGGCGGAAAGGTCAAGTAAAACCAAAAATTACTCGCCCTGATCATCAATAGCACGCTGTGTGTCGTTAACTATTCGAATCAATGCAGTCTCAGTGCTATGATACTTCCTGTAGGGGGATCGATGTGCATTCTGGCATAAAGTCCGTCGTCATGGAGACTGTATTCGTTGATTTGAGACGCGGCAATTCTTTCAAGTGTCTTTGACAGGAACAAAAGACTGGAACTAGGTTATAATTACTAGGTTCGTCGGGGTCAAGAGCTTCCTTTTTTATAAGAGGAAGGACAATCGACGTTTCAGTCCGGTTGAGAAATAGTCAAAAATATTTAGTTCTTGGCACTCAAACGTACGTCTTTCTGGAAAATACTGACCAACCATTTTCTGAAACATTTTGACTGAAATCATTCATTTTCTGAATGTTTACGCTACTTAAGTCCATTCTTTGATTCCCATCAATTATTTCACCATCAAATAACTCTCTCGACCTCTGATCAAGTAAACACATTCTGTTGTGTGTTTTAAAATGTTCCTTAGCAAATGTCCTCAAGCAAGCTTCACATTTCCTTGGCTTTTGCTGGCCAAAGAACTCGACGATTTCAACAAACCCCATAATAACAGCAAGAACATTTTTAGCCAATAGAACAGACACGTCCAGATGATACCCATGCCACAATACCAATCTCAAAACCAAGAAAGGTGCATTGGCTAGAAACATGAAACCGCAAATGTATATAAGTCTAAACGAGATTAGAGGAACCTCCCCGTTTTCGTGAAACTTGTTCAATTTGAGCTCAAACAAGGCAAGTGTCGGTAGAAATATATTCAAGCAGGAAAACGCCAAAATAGCATTTTCAAGCTCAAGTGTGATCTTTTCTTTTGTAAAAAGATACTGCAGCATTTCCACGCTGTCGAACAAGTCCAGAGTCACTGCCGACGTTATCTTCTCCAAATAATATTTTCGTCGTGACTGCGATCTTGCGTCTTGATGCGCATAAATGAGAAATAAAAACAACATTGGCGTCAGGCACAAATTCATTTTTATCACGTTAGGTCCAAAAACAACTTTTTTATCGTTGTAGACGGGGGTTACTAATTTAAATAAAGTGGCAACTTGAGGCACTAAATGCAACGCATAGACAATCCAAGCTATATAAGCAAATTTTGTTCCATCCTCGGTAACCACGGTTTTAACGCTATGTGATTTTCTCTTCGTCGACATCCACATCGTGTACATCCAGGTGGACAACACAATTACATCTGTGGTAATCCATGCGAACCGCCATGGAGTCTTCATTTCGGTGATGAAATGAATGTCTAAAACGGCGCCTTGTACAATGAGAAAGAGAAGTGCCAATATGCGAGGGAAAGCCTGGCGATGTTTGGTCCTTCTGCTTCTTGCCATAACCACGCGTTCAGTCACTTGATGGTGTGATCACATGCATCATCAAGTCCTTCATAAATTTAAAAATTCCTCCCACATCATTATTTATTAAAGGTGATTCGAAACTGAGTAAAGGAAATGAAATGAGATAGGATAATTCACCTAAACGGTTTATGTTTTTGCTTTTAAAATTGAAACGGAAGCTTGCCTCATTTAATTGATACGTACAAGGTTTGATTTTTAGCTTTTACGACAGCTATAGAATATGCACCTAAACGAACATCGCTTTGTGTCAAAGAGACAAAGACGCACTCACGTATAATTTATTGCTGAACGAAAAATGTTAATATTATATTGGCTCACATTAGATGGCATCCGGCAAAATCAATCTGGTAGCATGCTAACCTGAGTGTGCTAGAAATTAAGCGTCTTCGAGCAGTTTTTACGGTATAAATGAGCTCTCTCAAGGTTTTTTCCTACATGAGCTTCCAAACAATGATATTGGAATAAACGTTTTTCTCCAAAGATAATATAATATGATATAATTGACACTGTATCCTGCTTTGCCAGACCTCTTGCTAAGAAAAAAAGAACTAAAGAGAGAAGGAAAGGAAGAAAGATTCTGTTTGAGTTATAGCGTCAGCGACAGAATTCAAGATAAGGTACACGATATCAGCGGTATGATTTTACGTCAGGTCAGTCAATGTATCTAAATAATATAACAGCTGCGAAATTTAAATTGTGCAATATCAAAAAGTTCTCATTGCAATCAATCTACAAGCACGCCGAAAAACGAATGAACACCTATAACTCGCTTTGAATGCTTCGGCTGCTAAGGTGTGGGTTTCTCAACAGGTGGCCAGCTCTGTTGCAAGCTTGGCGCTTGTTACATGCTTTGTTCAGTTGTACAGAAGTAAAAGAAGAGTACTGTATGGACGAAACGCTCGGGCGTGATACTATGCATAACATTAGGGAAACTCTCGATAGCAAAATTCAATATGATTCAATCATATTTGGACTTTAATCGAAAGTCATCTGGCAGAAGTATTTCGTTGCGGAAAATCCATGTCTCTGAAAATCATCTTCCAAAAAGATGGATTTCCTAATCAACAAAATACGTCTGCAAGATGACTTTCCACAAAAAATGCAAATATCAATCCGTTTCTTGAAAATCCGATAATTCGGATTTCCCAGTTGGATGCAATATGCATGCAAATTTGTTTTTTTAAGCGTGAATTTCAGATTTTCGTTTTTGTAGTTATCATTACTATACTAGAATCTGTTCATTCAAAATTGATTTCTTGTGAGTCTGTTTGAACGGTTAGTTTGCGCATGTTTTATTTTAGTGAGTTCCCGTCAAAACGTGTCATAAAAGCATAAATTCATCCCCCTTTTCTTCAGGCAATAACCACGAAAAACAGAGTTAACAACGACCATCTAAATTATACTGCATGGGTTACAAAATATTTTAAAACATAACGCCGTTATTGTTTTATTTTTCATTAATTATTGATAGTCATTGATTATTAATCAACTTCGAGAGCCAATCATTTTTAGTATTTGAGCCAAAACTCGGGATGATTCGTCATTTTTGTAAGAGCTGTTGCTGTTTTTTCAGTCAAACACCACCTACTTATATAAATAATCAATTTTCTAACGGTTGCAGCCATAGGCGATCAGGTATATGAATTAATGAAGTGTTATATCTTTTTAATAAATATATTTTGTCTAGGCTGATGAATAATTTCCTTCAGCGCGTATTGAGAAAGGCCTATTGCAATTTTTCTTGGAAGACATACACGGTTGAAACCCTATAGGTCCTATAGTCTGTTAAGTAATTTTAGAAAATTGGTATAAAAGAGAATTTTAAAGTGCTATTGCAGTGCCAGTCTGTTCAGACTTGAAAATAATAAAAATCTTATCGAGCAAATAATCATTAACATACAGATTCTTTCGTACAGCGTTTTAAGACATCTAGTAAAAGCTTTGCATCAAGTAATAATGTTTTTGAATGTTACTTTGTCGGATGCACTTTTCAACAAATCAAGCGACTTTTAAGTCGGCCCCCGTCACAGCTTTTTTCCAAACATTGATAATATGATACTTTGGTTTTGATATGAGAGTCTGTTTGATTTTCTGCAACCTTCGATTTAAAGTTGAACAAGTAGCTGGAACTCACTTCCAGTTAGAGTATAGAACTCAAGATAGATGCAGCTTGCAGGAGGTTAAAGTCATCATCAGACGACAAACCTACCCTATAAAAGAAAAGAGTTATTAAAAGCGTTTTTTCTTCCTTAAAGGCCTTGGCCAGGGCATGGAACAAAACAATGCCCGAGTGCTTTTACAGAAGAAATTATTAAAAGGAAGCGGAAGGATTCTTGACTAGATCAGATTATCAAACGTGACGTGCTTTCTATTATGTCTAATTCGAGACCGACTAGTCGTAGACCGGTCGGTGACAAAAAAAGAAGAAAAAAGACGGAAAACTGGAACGACAAAGTGCTATCGAAAAGGTCGACAAATGTCGATAAATTTTATCTAGGAACAAGTAATATTTGTGACTTAATCTTGGTTGATTCAACGGTACGCCACTCCGCAACTATCGTTGGAGCAAAAGGACCTGTGAAATGGGAGAGCCTCTTGAAGTGAACCAACTCTAATGTGCTTTTGGACAGAACAATTTCACTCTTTGACCTCAATTTGCAAACAAATAAAATAAGAATAATTATGATGAAAGGTGCCCCTGATTTCAGATTAAAACTGACATAAAAGCCAAAGCTTTTGTGAGGTGGATTTGGATATCCTATTTCAATGTTACGGCCAAAAAACTGGATTTTATAATCGGAAGCGATGCGTGATTAACATAATTTGTTGGGACACTGCAGTGATAGGACTAACATTACGAAACAACATCCATTTCTGGAATCTTTTCCAGTGCATACACTTATTGCTTCCATTCTCGTTTGTGGCTACCTTAGCCGCTAGAATCATTTCACTCTACTTAATTTTTGCCCTGGCTTTTGCAAACAGACGCGAAATACTTAATTAAATGAGTGAAGAGTTGTGTTGAATTTTCACTTTGACGATTAATTAATTTAAGGAGAGCAAAAATTGAAAGTCCTCAAAATTTATTTCAGTTCACTAATTCTTATCACCTTGTTGATATTATCTAGATTACAAGAAATCTTTAGGCAAAAGGTAGTCACGTTTGTAAAAATAAAGAGAAATCGTGAGATTTTTGTCAGCAACAAAACTTTGGTCGCACAATTCAACACTGATTCGTATTCATTTTCTCGAGTCAATTTCTCTCCGGTAATGAACAACTTCGTCAAACTTTTAATTAAAATTGTTATATAAAACTATAAATTCTCATCCGTAGAGGTAATTTTTGCGGATTTTAGCTTTTCTTTATTTCTAAAATCCTTTTTGTTTGTGGAAAAGTATTTTTTCCTCCCTGGGTCTCTGAACCTATACAGACAGGTTTCTTCAATTTCCGGTTCCATTTTTCAGTGGAAAGTATATGCAAAAGCAGTACCCTCTCTACCCCTATTATGGTACATAGAAAGGTAAGGGGGTTGAACCTCACGGCGAGGAGCCTCTCCGTAAAAATGCTGAGCATATCCCCCGGGACCCATGCATTACTGACAAAACCTACCCTTAGATCGAAATGAAAGCTTTGAAAACTTTGACTACACTTATAAACACTGACTAGTTTTCATCAGATCTGTTTTATTTTCTCCAAACATGTCATAAATCCCCTACAGCGACAAACATACACCAACAAACATGAACCACTACACACGATGAATGAAATGAACCCCCAAGACCACAAACTAAAGCCAAAAAACAGTTAGAGCTGAAAAGTAAAAAAGAGAAATATATTTTTTTACTGTAATCTTAACCTCGATAATCAGCCGGTGATCGGGAAGTAAGTCTGCGTTCCTCTTCCCCCGTTCAATTATTTTATCATATTACACAGGTATTATCTGCATATAAACCCGGGGCAGAAGGTTGCAGACAATTGGGAAAGTCGTTGACGTAAATTAAAAACAGTAAAGGACTCACGATTGATCCCTTAGTAACAGCATAAACTATATATTCCTCATCAGACAAGACAATTCAGCAGGTCTAGTGATAAATCCCGGTCTCATGAGTTTAATCAGAAATTTGTCTTGTAACAAAACGCAATTTTGTCATCCTGATATGGATGCCTATTTCTCATTTTTCATAGCTCCAACAAGGCTCGCAATATGGAACTAATTGTGCTAATTGTAATATGTGCAAATTGCTATTTACTTTGGCAGCTAAAACCAACCAATTAAATACCCCGCTGTTTGTTTTTCATATCACGCTGATATCACCTCTTGTGTCAGTCCATATGTTTTTGCTTTTGTTATCACTTTGTTTCTTTCAGTTTTTTCTTAAGCTGTTCGATATAAGGTTAATTCTTTGATTAAACATCAGTCTCTTTTGAGGTAGTTTTCAAGGAAATTTCATTACTCTTGGAAGAATTAAGCAAATTATCTCGTTCTTCAGTAACGCGGATAGTATCGAGTTTAGAAATTTCCTTCTCTTTTCTGTTTCTCTCTTCTTCAAACACTATGAATCTCGAATTTTGATCCGGTGGAAATGAACAAGTATCTAGATGCCTTTTGTAGAATTCTTTGACAAAAGTCTTCGTGCACGATTGACATCTCCTCGGTCTTTGATCGCTAAAGAACTCAAATATCTCTATCAGTCCCATGATAATGGCCAGAGAATTCTTCGCGAGTAACACAGAGACATTCAAGTGATATCCATGCCACAAAATCAGCCTTAAAACCAAAAAAGGGACGTTAACGAAAAACATAAAACTACAAATGTAAATAAACTTGAAAGAGATCGGCGAAATTTCTCCGTTGTCATGAAACTTGTTATACTTCAGTTCAAACAAAGCAAACGTTGGGAGAAAAATATTCATGCAGGAAAAGGCCAAGATGGCATTTTCCAGTTCAGGCGAGATCTCTTCCTTGTCAAAAAGATATTCAAGCATTTCGACACTGTCGAACAAATCCAAAGCAACCGCTGCTGTTATCTTCTCTAAGTAATATTTCCGTCGAGAATGCGACTTTGCGTCGTGATGCGCGTATATAAGAAATAAAAACAACATTGGCGTCAGGCATAGGTTCATTTTCAGTGTGTTAGGTCCAAAAACATGTTTCTCGTCATTATAAGCCTCGATTTTGAGCTTGAATAAAGTCGCCACTTGTGGTACTAAATGTACTGCATAGACAATCCATGCGAAGTAAGCAATTTTCATTCCATCTTTAGCCAAAGCGCTCCGTGATTTTCTGTGCGACATCCACATTGTGTAAACCCACGTGGAAAACACGATAGCATCTGTTGTGAGCCAAGCAAACCTCCACACGGAGCGTTCTTCAGTGATCAGATAATAATCAAGAATTGCACCTTGCAGAATCAGAAAGGTAATCGCTAGTATTCGGGCAAAACCCCGACGAATAACTATAGTTTTCCTTGCCATGTTAGGACACACACACAGAACGAAGTTGTTCACCCGGGTTGTTCAGGAGTGAGTCAGCACTTGACTAATCAAGCATGTCGACGTCATGCCCGGATTAAATTCAATGACCCACAAGTAAAATAACACTATAAGCCTCTTACACCCTTGGGAGTTAAACTAGTGCTGTCACATAGCAAATTTCAATAATAAGAGGAAAACAACTTCCAAGGCTATCAACAGTGAAGTACAGTGAAGTACTGCATGTAGAATGATGACTGAATCTTGTTGACCTCAGGGCATGACTTCATCGTCACAAAAGTCGGTGTCGCGTTACAGGCGAACGTTGAGACCGGTTTCATGACATGAGGTCTGGGAACGCTAAATATCATTATATTTTGCCTTTTTTCTATAAAATAAATAAAAGAGACTTACCTTTGATGCATTCTTGTGTTTTTTGGTGTGAATGGAATTCCCACAATAGAGCCAAAGAGTCGACTAAGGCGATGAATCCACCCCAAAAACAGATCAAAGATAAGTCTCTTTTATTTATTTCGATACAAAAAGGTAAAATATAATCATATTAAGAGTTCGCTACACTACGAGTAGTCCCTCATTTTTCCTCATGGATAGTAGATCGAGCGTGAAAATCACCCCACGCCAGAAAAAGCTACACGCGGCAAGGAGAGAGAAAAATGAGAAAAATTTTTCTCTCTCCCCGCCTCGTGTCTAAGCGTTCGCAGACCGGTGTATGACATTTGCAGACTGCAGACTGCAGACTGCAGACCGCAGACCGCAGACCGCAGACTGCAGACTGCAGACTGCAGACTGCAGACTGCAGACCGCAGACTGCAAACTGCATGAGGCAGCAAGACTGTAAATTGAATGAAACCAAAAATATCGTAATAAAGGTGGCGTCATCATCAACATTACCTAGAAGAAGTTTTATTTTTCCCGCAAATTACACCGACCTCATTCCTAAAGGAGCTGTTGACTGTTCTTTTCGTATTGAATTAGAGCAGAATAATGTCTGCACAAACTTGCTCATGAATCCATAGCAACAGTCTAGCAATTTAGCCTGCACCACAGACGAAACTAAACTATGTCGAGGGTCGAGGGTAACATTTCTTTTTTTTCAAATTTTTTTGGTCATAAAATGTGTCATAAACGAACAATATATTAATGTCACTAATATGTTTTGATCTGATCGCTGTTCGTGGATAAAAGCTCCCCTTTTCGAGCAAAATCGGAAGTTTTTCGCTGAAGCCGTTGTGAAAGAGCGTTTTTTGCCTCAGACACCTCTGATCTCTGTTTGCACACTACGAAAGACTTGTACAAAATTAGTCTCGCCACATGACTTCCTATCATTCCACTGCCGCCATCAACTGCGCCGACAAGTGTTGTTTTGCGTTCCTTTTGTGTTTCAGATTTCTGCAGTGATATACTTTAAAGCTGCAGAAAGTTGATAATTGAAGGATTTTATTTTTGCAGGGCGACTCTGCGATAGCATCAACCATGTAAATTAACGTTTAACGGGGGGAGGAGGGGGGGTACTTGGGTTAATGTTTGCTAGGTATGCGCAGCCGGCCTCTCAGAGTCCCTACCCCATTATGGTCTATTTTTTGGCCAACTATAGACCCCATCTTGGTCACTTTTTGGAAAATGTAATTTTCGCGATCCCAACTTAGTCACTTTCTATTTATGCATCTACCGTATCAATGTGGTTTCAAGCGGCGGAATGTAATGCGGTCAAAGCGAGCTTATTGTTAAATTTAATAAACAACAACTTTCTAATTTTTTTAACCGAGAATCTTCCCATTTTGAATCCCTACTTACGGTTAGTATCTCATGTAAGACTCCTACTTAGCCCCAAAATCCGAAAATTTGCAACCCCATTCTAGTAACTCTATTAAAAATGCGACCCCATTATAGTCAATCCAGTCGTGACAATGCGACCCCATCCAGGGGCACATCCGTCATGATTAGCCTCTTGTAAGGGAGTACCCCACACCCGGGACGTTTACCACTCGACTCACCTACGTACCTAGGTCACGATTTCCGGTGTCGGTGATTATAGATGACTTGTAATTTTAAAATTTCATAGCGCGTTTCTACTTCATTGAAAGCACGGCAATTCGGTGGCGTACACTGAGTTGGATAGCTAAAAAAGCATGAATCGGTGAAATTTCCATATTCAAACTACCCCACTGAATAGCCATGCAAGGCAGAGAAGAGGCAGACATATAAACATAAGCTCTGTGATACTTTTTTAGGCACGATCTGTCTACCTTCACTTTGCTTTTAACGAATTCGAATGTCCACGTACTTTTTTAATGATAAAAAACAAACAAACAAACAACAACAATAACACGTTTTTACTTTTTGGAAAAAAAATTGAAAAAAAAAATTGTTATCCTCGACCCTCGACAAAAAGATAGACTCAAAAATCGAAAAAATGGAAAGCGCGCGGGGGACTATCGTGCCCCGCGCGCTCTCGTTTTCCTTCTCCCCAGCCTCTCCACAGCACAAGAGGCCTCTGCGGAGGAGAGACGGCTTTCCGGCCTGATGGTTAAATTCAGTGTCAATCAGACTGCGGATCAAAGGCAAAGGGGTTTTCCGTGACGCGTGATGGTCTGGAACCCAAATTATCAGCGTGTTGCGTGATCTGGCCTAAATTAGTTATGGAGGCGTGATTGGGAATAGCAGCGTGATGCGTGATTTACTATTTTTACAAAGCGTGATGCGTGATTTTCCTTTCAAATTTCCGTGATGGTTAATATTATTTGAAACTAGAAGCAGAGACATTGAAACAGATAGTTATGACACTAACTTCTTGCCCTTTTTTCTCGTTCCTCGACCTCTGATTTCCTCAGATCAAATGATAATAGGATACTTGTTAACTAATTTAACATATCATTCCTTTTTTTCCGTGATGCGTGATAGCTTTAAAAAAAATCTGCGTGATGCGCGATAGGTACTCCCCTTTGTCACTCTGTGTGAATGTCAATGAACTGGCTAAGTGCTTTTGTTTAATTTTGAAACTTGCTTGACAAAATGTAGGACTGGGAATACTCTAAATTTTGGATAGAAGGGTAAAATAATGCTGGCTGTTTTATGTCAGGCAGCTACTTATGTCCAACTTTTTTCAGCCAGTTCTAAAGTGTTCATAAAGCAGTGTATTAAATGACGCAATACAGTGAAAGTTTCTTTAAGAGACCGTCACCCGTGTAAAATGGATGATAGATATATTTAAGAGCGAATGCACAGAAAAATCGAGCAAACCGTGGCCACAGCTCAAAACCTAGCCTACCCTCATTTTAAGTCTGTAATAACGTTTTAATGAGCTTATAACACTGCTGAGGTTTAAATTTCAAAATGCGGCCGAATTTGGGAATTATTTGAGATTTTCGATTTCAACGGTCCGCGGGCCTAAAATTAGCCGCCGAACACGGCAATATAGCCTAGCGACAGAAATGAGCTGACTTTCATAAACGAGCGAATATATTGGCAATCTTCCGCTTAAATCTCAAAACACAGATATTTACAATTTCTAAACAGCACATTTTTTTAGATTTAGAGCATAAAATATCGACGAACGAGCACAATTTTGAAACGTAATTTGCATAATGCTTATAAATACAACAATTTACCGCTACAACCAAAATCGAATTTTCTATATGGGGGAATTCTCCAAATCACCCCAAATCCTGCTTACTACCTAATGAGATATAGTACTTTAACATTATCTGAAAGTTAGTCTGGTGTTCTCGCGAACGCTTGTAAAATAGATTGATTATTTTGAGGTTATTTTCACCCAAACAACCGCTAATTGACCCCAGGGTCAGTTGACACGTGCACGTCACCTTAGTTTTTTATGCATCGATTTGAGCTCGTTAAAAGGGAGAAACTAACAAGGTTTTTTTAATATGTACCTGTTTTAATGAAATACACGCAATCTTCAAAAGGAGAGGCAGTTCAATGGGTAATGTCTGTTCTTGAGATCTTGTAGATTGTACCATGGCGTCTGCGAGGTGGACCTGAATCTAGGCCTGTTTTCCCGTGACTGCGAAATCAGAATAACATCATGAAATAATTCTCGCTCGAACCTTCGTAAATGAATCCGCTTTGCAGTGCCTAACCTGAGATAAAAAGTGGGCCGAATAGAAAAACATTCTAGCGCAATTTGGATCCTTTGCAGCACGTAGTGCTAAGCGGCGATGGTATCAGTGACTTTTATTTAGTTACTCACCTCCGATTGCGTAACCAGGCAATTATCGATTGTCTCCTGCGAAAAATAAGTGCACGGGAAACCAAAACTTTCGGGATACAGTAAATTCATTTTCCTGTATGAACAGGTGTCCTTTTGTCCTTTTGTCCTATTTTAAAAGCGGTTAACTAAGATGATTAGCAAACATACTGTCCCACTTTTAAAAGTGGTACAGTAACTGAATGTTCTGTTCTTCTGATTTTACCCCCAACCCCGGAGTGTTCAGAAGATATATTTGCACTACGCATGAAAGGCAAATGGATTAAATTTTAAGGTTCAAGGCGGTTTTAAGGCATGGGTTACCAGTGGATTAGAAGGACTTGTCATAAGGTGCATTGAACGGAAAATTACAGGCATGATATCTCTGCTATTGTATATATGTCCATTAAGTGATTTTCCAGAAAACATTTTTTGACTTTTTTACCCCAAAGTTTTTTCCGTTCAATTCTTATCTATGAGATCTAAACTTAGTTAAATTTCTGTAATTTGTTTTTAAATGCAATTCTGCAAACAACTAAGTATTAAATTTTGCGTAAAAGCTACATGAAATTGTACTGTTTAGCCGTAAATCATAAAAAAGAGAAAGCATCATGCTTTCTCTTTTCAAGTCTAGTAGGACTTAAGCAATGGCATTGCTTAAGTCCTAGTAGTTGTTCTCCATGTCTGCTAAGGAGGAAATAGTTTGCTCTTTTCAAGAAATTGTTCTTGCCCATTGCGGTTTCAAACCAAGGATAGCAGCAAGTCTGTCGTGGTCATATACTGCTAGTTCAGTGCAAACGAAGCATAGGCGCACAAGTCAGCGCTTGCGTTTAGTCAGGTGCCGAAAATGAAGTGGAGGGCGTCCATGTTCGCTCCAGCTCGAAAAGGTAGAATCAGTTGTGCAGTAAAAAGTAATGCGAAAAACCTGCGGGGGCTGGGGAAAGAAAGGCGTCTTATTTTTCTTTGGCTTGTTCTCTTTTCGCGACGTGGTACAGGCTACGAAATACTGACAAGCCCAGTATATGTCTTCACCACCGAGAGTCACTTGCCCTTAGCCGGACACGCCCCTCACGTATCATGTTTCGTTCCTAAAGTTATTTCAAAGCACAGAACCAAACCTAATCAGCGGCCAAAGGCAGAAAGGGGGATGAGCAAACGGATGTCACAGCATATTTTGCAAGAAACTGGTATCCTTGTGCCTATCGGCTCAGGAACGATCAGGGTCAGAATTTGAGTGCTACAATGGGAGGGAAGGAAGAAAAGGAAACCGCCGCGCACACCTGTTAAGTCTTTTATAAACTTTCTCGTCCTGACGGTTTCAAGGAAGGGCGTTGTGGCTGCTATAGAGTGTTTTCACATGACGTCACGGCGGCCATATTGGTCTCCCAAAACAATGAAACGGCGGCCATGTTGGTGTCTCAAACCAGTCCTGTGGGAGTTGAACTCCTTTCTTATGCAAACGCTTTCTCTTGTTCCAATAAATTTGCATAGATGCTGGCTACGTAAGTGAAAATACTCTATTTAATTTACAGTGTCTGTTGCAGGTGTCGAATTAATCTTACAGCAACTGGAAACGTGGCCACGCCTGCTGAAACTGAGATTCGTTGTAGGATGACCGGCTATAGTTTGGTATATTCACGAGCGCGTTTTGTCCAGTGAACTGAGTGCGTAGTTTTTCTTAACGAAGGGATGGGGTGGGTCAAGTGAATAGTTCGGGGAACGTTTGCTCTCTTTAGAGTGGGAGGGGGGGGGTATATTTGTTGATATCGGGAGTTCTGGCCGGGATAGAGTCGTTGTAAAGCTATTTTTGCTTCGGAGTATCGGTTTACCGGAAGCTGAGCACGGAAAGTCAATGGTGCATTTATGGAATAATAATAGAGATTCTCATGGTCTAACAGTGCGAAGATTAGACTTCTGATAAGGTGGCAACGATCAAGGCCCGCATTATAATTCATAATAATTGAAGGTCATGATGTGCAAAAAGCGACTGAAATGGTGGATGCCATGCAATCCTCTCGGGTGGGGGCGGCGAACCTGGCCTTAACGGTTGCCCCTGCGACAGAATGCAAGCATGCCCAGATTGTCCACGGGTTGCTAAATGAGACCGTCCCTTTCTTAGTACCCGTTCCCTGTCTTGTAATTAGACCCGGGCAAATTTTTCGAGATTGCACCATCATTTTGGGCTTAAAGCTTCCAAAGTCCAACAACAATAGCGCATGTTCGCGACGGTTTTTTAAGTCAGTCAAGTTCTTAAACCAGGCCTTAAACGGCCAGTTTTAAGTGTCGATAACAGTTAAAAAGGCATACAAGCCTCATGCAAAAGACAGTGGGAAGAAAGTGCACGTCGGTGATGGGGAAAAAGGAGTAGCCCACAGTTATTTAGGGGTGGATCTTTCGAAACATTCTTATACTCTTGGACAGATATGCATTGTTTAAAGTTTTAGACAAACCAGGTGTAAATTTATAGTAACAAACTGTTAAATATACATCAGCAAGATTTTTGCGAATCCTATTTTTTGCTGGAGACTATCGTTTACTGGCTAGTCACGCAATCATAGGTAACGTACTTTCCTACGTTTGTTTACTCACCTTTCGCTCAGCAATACACTGCGTTCCACAAAGGATCCAAATTGCGCTAGAAATGTTTTGCTATTCGGCCCACTTTTTATCTCAGGTAAGGCACTGCAAAGCTGATTCACTTACGAAGATTCGAGGGAGAATTATTTCTTGATGTTATTCTGATTTCGCAGTCACGGGAAAACAGACCTAGATTAAGGTCCACTCGCAGACGCCATGCTGCAATCTACAAGATCTCAAGAACAGAAATTACCCACTGAACGGCCTCTCCTTTTGAAGATTGCGTGTATTTCATCAAAACAGGTACATATTAAAAGAATCTTGTTAGTTTCGCTCTTTTAACGAGCTCAAATCGATGCATAAAACTAAGGTGACGTGCACGTGTCAACTGACCCTGGGGTCAATTAGCGGTTGTTTGGGGCAAAATAACCTCAAAATAATCAATCTATTTTACAAGCGCTCGCGAGAACACCAGACTAACTTTCAGATAATGTTGAAGTACTATATCTCATTAGGTAGTAAGCGGGATTTGGGGTGATTTGGAGAATTCCCCCATATAGAAAATTCAATTTTGGTTTTAGCGATAAATTGTTGTATTTATAAGCATTATGCAAATTACGTTTCAAAATTCTGCTGGTTCGTCGATATTTTTGCTCTAAATCTAAAAAATGTGCCGTTCAGAAATTGTTAGATATCTGCTTTTTGAGATTTAAGCGGAAGATTGCCAATATATTTGCTCGTTTATGAAAGTCAGCTCATTTCTGTCGCTAGGCTATATTGCCGTGTTCGGCGGCTAATTTTAGGCCCGCAGACCGTTGAAATCGAAAATCTTAAATAATTTCCAAACTTGGCCGCATTTTGAAATTTAAACCTCAGCAGTGTTATAAACTCATTAAAACCTTATTACAGACTGAAAATGAGGGTATGTTAGGTTTTGAGCTGTGGCCACGATTTGCCGATTTTGCTCGATTTTTCTGTGCATTCGCTCTTAAGTACTGAGAAAAACAAAACACAGCGAGGCTGAGGTTATCACTTTGTTGGCCGGAAGGCCCATACTATCCTTTGCAGAGTTCGTTGCCTTAGGCAATCTTTTTGCAGGTGTGAAAGTAGGCAGTTGTTCAAACCATAATGCATCTGTGGTTATTCTTGATTCGTGGGGGTGGGGGAAGGGAAGCAACAAAAAAACTGGTAGGTACTGCCATATATGGGTTATATACAGCTATATTGAAATATGTCGCTGCTAAGGGTATGGTTTCAAGCAGTTTAGTCTGCGTTAAGTCTGGGGTAGGGTGGAGCAATGGGTCCTGGCAAAGGGTATCATTCTGCAGAAAACTGATCAGTTGCTCTAGTCTAGAATTTGGTTTAGACTAGGGAAAGCGGGAATTGCCACTCAAAAAAGAATGAAATCGGCAAATTTGAATGAACCCACAACTTAGTAAGCTTTTTATTTTTGATTCTCATGCTGGTGACCTCAATAGCGACTCTAGGATAGGGAGGGAGTTAAGCCTCTCGCGTAGGGCAGCTAAACTAGGTATAGGCTAAAGGTTCCAGAATCCCAGCACCACATCCCCACCCCAAAATTCCTAAAGTTATACCCCACGCAAAAAAAGCGCGCTAATGCCACGGGTAATGTCGTATACAATCGTAACATTTTTTTAGTATTTAGCTCTCCAGATCAGGGAAATGGCTGCCTTTAACCTACTTTTCAACATCAGAAAAAGTTTGTGTATTTATAGTGGGAGTGCATTTAGCTTTCTTAATAAGATTACAAGCACTTCCGCCGGCACTAATCATTAATTACAATGAATAAAATATCTGCAGTGAAAGCTAAATTATTCTCCATTTTGGGTACACACGTGAAAATCGCAGACATTTTAAGTAACCCATGCAAAATTTACTCCAGCTTCTTCGGAAAACACCCGGTTACTGCTTGTTTTCTGGTGTCGAGACAAACTTCTTACTTTGGGCAAAATGTTGGGTTAGTGGTGGGGTAGGTGATCATTAGTTTCACAGAATCTTCAGTACTGATCACTATCGCTTCCCTCCCCAAAACATCAGTACAGTCAACAGACTTGCTACGGGTTATTAACCATAACCATGATTAACCATACTTTATTGATTTTCCAAGCAGTTATTTAATTAATTTTTTGATACTACCACATGAGAAATTTCTGCAATTTGATTGGCTTAGAGCAGTGGTATTTCAGCCTAATTTGAAATACCTACATGTGAAAATTATAACCTTTTGCGAGTAGTAGTATAAACAAATAATAACATGATTTGTACGTGATATTTGGCATAAATACCACTCGTGATATTTCAAAATTGTCTCAAATTTCACTCGCCTAACGGTTTTTGAAATATCACTGATGGTATTTATGCCAAATATCACTACAAACCATGCTATTACCTGTACAAACTATTATCTATTTTACTTTATCAGTTCATTGTTAAAAGGGTTTGAACTTCAGCACAAGTGCGCTATGCATTTTTTATTATTACTTTAACTATGCTCTGTACATCTTTACTTGTCCTGGCTTTGCTTGACTTGATACTTTCACTTCCACCTAAAAAAAATATCATTAATATTAGAATTTAGTAAGCCTAAAAACTCAAATTGACTTCACTTCTCAGGAAATTGGTAATCGGATTTTCGTTGCAAATGGAATTCAAGCCTTTAATCAATTCACAATTTTACAAATTTGGGGTTTTTTTTCAAATTTTTTACTTAATCTAATTTTCAGTTTAATTTCAATTCATTCAACTTTATACCAACTTTATAGAGTTTACTCAACCGATACTTGATTTGATAAAAAGAGAAACAAAACAAATATATATATACGTAGATTTACAGTATTTGCAATTTATTCCGTCAGAAGTGGTGGTGTGCTTGCTGGGAGAGGGGGAAAGGTATGACAACTACTTTTCTGCTCGCCCCTTTAAAGTATATTCTGATTGCAGTGGGATATATATATATATATATATATATATATATATATATATATATATATATATAACTTCACAGAACTTCAGGTTTCACGAGTAATCATTGTTTTATTGCTACACAACTGTTTCGTATGGTGCAAGGACCACACTCATCAGGCAATTTTCACGACTGAACTGTTGGAATTGGAAGGCTGGCAGTTAAATGCGAAAATTTAAATGGTTTCTATAGTAGATACGTTACATTCAGGTTATATGAAACTGTTGAAAGGGTTGCTAGGTAACAAAAACATTATATAAGAGGGCTTATCTGTCGTTATAAAAAATGTGATATAAGTGGGTTTTAAGCTACGTTACTCTAAAGTTTCCAAGTACATATCGGTTTCTGTGGGGGCTTGAACTTGCTAATTCGTTTCTTCTGTTGAGGCTACACACAGTTCTTTTTTACAGATGATTATGAACTTTTCATTCAGGCAAAGACTACATTTTTTGCTAATGTTGCTGTACGGTTTACATTTCTTAAGAATTTTCCATTTAATCTGAAACGGTTTCTTTTCGTTTTGTAAGTTCCAAACATATATATATATATATATATATATATATATATATGTGTGTGTAAACTCGATGTATAAAGTGCCTGTCATAAGCTATCACACTTATTAGTCCACCCTCACCATAAAGTATGAGCTAATCTACCTGTAAACAAAAAAATGCATCCGATCAAAGACCCCTCGGATTTTTAAAAGCCTCCCTCCAAATAGATTGAAATGAATTCGATTTGTTATGACATTTTGAGGCTTAATTGGAAACCAATATAAATGCAAAACCTATTTAACTTAGTGGGCACAGTATAGTATGTATATCTTGTTTCGAAGTCCGGTAATAAGCCCCATCGGATAAAAGCCCCTCCGTTTATATATCCAAGTCTTCAAAAACGCGTTAATTATTCATAAAGAAAAAAAACAAAAGAAATTAATGTTTATCGGGTGTCTTTATACCTCATAAAGACACGGCTAAACTTTACGTCCAATTTTCTAGACCAAAAGACTGTCACCAAATCTAAATATTAGTGCAAGAATGATTTCATCTGTATAAGAGATTTTGAAACCGTTCAACGCAGTTTATGGTACAAAATTTTTGCATTTATTGAATTTTAAAAAAACCAATATACTTACCAGGGAATATTTAGTTTCAGGCCATTTTTGCCCACGTCAACACCAACCTTCTTGCCTCCGACTCCAACGCCAACACCGACACCTCCTTCCTTATCCACGCCGACATTTACACCGTTGTCTTTGTCTCCGACACCAACATTTACACCTCCAGACTGCCGTGCATTCCTGTCTCGGGGCATATCACGGGTATACTGGGCGGCGTCCATATCATGGGCATATTGGGCAGCGTCCATATCATGGGGATACTGGGCGGCGTCCATATCATGGAGATATTGGGCAGCGTCCATATCATGGGGATACTGGGCAGCGTCCATATCATGGGGATACTGGGCAGCGTCCATATCATGGGGATACTGGGCAGCGTCCATATCATGGGCATATTGGGCAGCGTCCGTATCGTGGGCATGCTGGGCAGCGTCCATATCATGGGGATACTGGGCAGCGTCCATAACCCGAGGAAAATCAGCGTCCATATCTCGGGGATGATCACCGCTCAAGTCTCTGGTTAACTTGTGTTGCCTAAGAAAACCAAACATAACATTTAAGCTTTAGGGCGCTTTCGATTCAACAAAAATTCCGGTCAGTTGAAATTTCGGAAATTCCATGAGCTTAATGGATCGGAACATCCCGGTTGTACACTTCCGACCCAAACCACCACCGAGCGTTTGGTTATTGCTCTTGTAAGCAGGATACAAAAACGATACTGGGGACAAGAGTTTTGTAAAAAGGAAAGGGACATTTCGGTCGGTCTGGCCGAAATGTCCAGACCGGTCTTCGCACTACCTTCACAGATGAACCCAAATATTCCGGTCGGGTCGAACTGTAATTGTCCGTTCCATTTGATTTCGCCAGAATTTGGGTTGAATGGGAAGTGCCTTTAGTCAGTACTTTTATTTTGAAACGTTTTAAAACTCATTTGATATTCAAACTTCTCAAAAACTCCAAATTTTACCTTTTGAATAACAATAACACAACACAACGGAAGCAACAAATATTCTAAATACTCAAATGAAGAATAATCCTCGCAGTTGTGAACGCAACTTATGCAATTGGTAAGAAGCCTGAAGTTTTAAAGTCCTTAATTTCTTTCAAAGACTATTTGGACATGCCGTTTTGCTGAACGTACTTCATAAATCTCAAATCGGTTTCTTGCCAGCAAAATCGAACATCAGACTGGCATGTCCTAACCTTACGAACGATTGTGGACAAGTACGTGCATGGTTAGCCTCCCAAACAAGCGTTCTTAAGGGAGCTCGTTTTTCATCCCTCCCCACGCAGGCTACACAAACGCCTGCTCAACCGAAGACAGCAATCCGTTTCCATTGTTTTATTTGCGTGGTAAGTGACCAATAAACAGTTGTGCAATAAAGTGTTGACAGGCTAAACGCGACTAAAACGTGACCCTACATTTACCGTTTTCCTTCTTTTCTTTCCTTCGTGAAGGTTACGAAGTGCAGGGAGTATTCTAAAATTTGATTAAATCTTATTTTTGCCGCTCTCAATCTAACATTTATTGAAGGTTAGAAAATTTTTCCGGTGTTTCATGCAGATCGAGTAATTATCAGATTACCTTGCGGTCAAGGTCAACTTTCCAGAATTTAGAAAGTACAATGTGATTGGCTAAGCGTTGGAATGGAATGTTGTCTTCGGTTGCGTTTGATCGGGCGTTTGTGGGGAGGGATGAAAAACGAGCTCCCCCAAAAACGCCTGCGTGGGAGGCTAGTGCATGGTCCTCGTGAAAAAATATACGCTTGTTTTACTGATTTCAAAAGGGCCTTTGACTCCTTCTGGCATGAAGAATTCTTACATAAATTACTGCAAATCCGTGTAGGAGGATGTTTCTATAAGCTAATTCAGAACCTATATTCAGACTCCTCATGCACCCTAAAAATTGGTAGGAGTCAAACCAGATCCTTCCATTGCTTGAGAGGTGTACGCCTGGGTTGCATCTTAAGCCTCTTGCTTTTCAAACTTATTATATATTAACGACTAACCATATCCACTTCAAAATACTTCATCATATCCCATCATTCTTCCAAACGGTACCAAATTTTAAATTCTGTTTTATACGCTGATGGCCTGATTATTTTATCCCGATCTAAAGTAGGTTTGCAAAATTGTCTAAACACCTCGTGTTCTTTTGGAAGTTCTTGGATGTTAGATATCAATTCTAAAAAGACCAAGATTACGAGCTTTAAAAAACGCGTAAAGAAAAACTTAGACTTAGAATTCTACAAACGGAAACAGACCATTGATATTGTACACGAAAACAGATATTTAGGAACCCGAACCTCCTCAACTGGTAATTGTAATGTGTCTCTCGAACACTTGAGAGAGAAAGCCCTTCTCGCTCTTTTTGATTTGTGAAAAAACGCAGGCATTAGTAGATTAAAACCTTCCTTGGCTTGTAAAATATTCGACACCATGACCACCCCTATACCATTCTATAACTGTGAAATTTGGGGAGCTAACCAGAAACAAGATTTTAAAACGTGGGACGGCTCCCCAACTGAAAAAGCCCCAGCTAAAACTAAAGTACTTTTAATACTAAAGTAACCTCATGGTATACAGTTTTTTTTATATCTTACCCTTTTCCAACCGGGAACATCAACACCAAGCACACAGCACCAAGAATTGTTAAATAACAAACCCTCATCATGAAGTTCTTGTAATAAATGTAAAACAATCCAATTGCGTTAAAACTCATGAATTCATCCTTAATTAATAAGGTTCAACAGGGAATAGAGAGAAAGTTGACAAGAATCCAAGTCTTTACTTTCTGCGTATTCTACAAAAGGCCTAATTACCTTGGGATGCTCAACAATGCAAGTAAAGTGACAATTCCTCCCCTCTTGGTCGCGTTAAGGATGACTTTCAGTCGATATCTGCATGACCTAAGTTTGACCAACACGAAGCTATTTATGCTTTCTCCACGCCGTGAAACATGCGTTTTTCTTGACTGACGTTTAAAGACAGAGTGTTTATTTAAGGAAAAGAACTTCCCTAGTAACCTTGCATCACTACCTTTGACATTTACAGTTCTACGAGATGAGACGAGCTTCTGCAGGAAGCTGGATTCTCTTTTGTGACCATTTTAATCAAAGCAAGTTCTTTGATTATAAGAGTTTTTACCTAATGACTTACTATATACATGTAGATACCAAGGTCTTACGTGATAAATTATTATAATTTGATTTCCAAGGAGTGTTTAACATCTAGCAGCCATTTAAGGGAAAACAGGAAGACTATGTCAATTTCTTCTAAACTGGTCATCATTCAATTTGTAGTTTTGATATTTTTACCTGTAGGCACAAGAGTCTGATAGACCTGATATGAAAGGTCTGTTTTTTCTTTTGTTAAAATTAAGATCTTGCTTTGATTATTTGGACTACTCTCAACTACACTGACTTAGATAGCAGAGCCTTTTAATTTTATGTCCAAGGAGTGCTTCCTATTTCAGTAGGAGCACAGGAAGACTACAATAGTTTTCCTTTTCAGGTCATTCTAATGCTCCCCAACGAGTCCACCATGGATACTAACAGCCCAATTGAAATTATTGAGGATCAAACCAACGGACCTCATGAATGCAATGAAAAGAAAAACACTTTAAGGGGATTTAATCGAATATTCACATTTCTTAAACAAAAAAAATTCTTAAATTCGCCATTTTCACCGAGATCATAATGCACCTTGTTTATCCCCAAATATTTTTATATAACCATCGTTTCCAATTTCTCCTGGGCATTACAGTCGTCTCAAGAGAAGTCGAAGACAATGGTTCTGAAACATTTGGTGGGTGGGGGGGGGGGGGGGTAGGTAAGGTCCATTATGGTCTTGGTGAAAATAGTGAATAAGAAATACCACGAGTAAGTTGTACGGTTAGCAAACAAACTTTGCTTTGCAAAAGGTGCGTCTATAACTGCAATGATCTTCTTTCATATAATTCTTCACCCCGCAGTTCTCATATATGATTTTTATACATTCAAAACTTCATTGTTACAACTATAAGGAAGTTATTTATATGAACACTTCGAATGAAGGGACATCTTGCACACTGCTCTAATAGATGTCGGTGTGCACACCAAACTTAGAAAGACCTAGTTATGTATGTCCATGCCTCTACAGCACCATCAATCACTATAAGTGGTGACGAACTGGAGTCACTTATTTCGGAAGCATTATTAGTAGTGAAAATTGTGCTCAGAAAGACATCAAGGCCTTCCTTGAGTAAGATCTTCCGTATCTACTGGCCCAGCAAGATCACTAATGAGGAACTGTGAAGAAGACGGATAGCATGAATATATCTTTCGAAAAACCCTTCATCTTGTAGTTTTTATAATAATAATGTCAAAGAGAAACACATTTATCCATAGTTAGGGCCAAAGGGACTACACAGAATATTGACCAGCTAGAGGTAAATGCCTCCCCTTGCATGTGTCAAACATAACGCCCTGTTTACCAGGGTTTCTGCAAAAGTAAAATGTTTACAATTTTTCTCCTCTTAGTCGGGTTAAGCTTTAGCACTTTGGTCCAATCCTCATTCTCGAAACTATTTAAATATGCAACCCTCATTCAGTGAAAGATGCGTTAAAGACAAAGTGTTCATACAAGAATAAAACCTTCCTTTATAATCTCGCAGACAGACATCATTTAAAGTATTTTGAAATTTTCACTTGTAAGGGAAGAGCTGCTGAAATAAAATGGATTTATCCCTTTTTTTTGCCAGCGTTAAAAACTTGCTTTAATGATTCAAATAGTACTTTTTTCATAGTGACTAACTAAATAGATAACAAGTTTTGCCTACGAGTTCCCACTAGGAGTCATCACATCCAGGCTATTACGGCCACCAGCACTGCCGCCAATAGACCTTTCATCTAAGTTTCCGAAAGTCTTTGAGAAATAGACAACACCCTTAGTAAACAATGATGTAGAGGTTACACATCCATATCGTAGATATTTGTTGCTATTCCTGCTCCAATTTTATGGTTACAAGCACCCCCACACTGATCAAATAATCATAATGAACAAATAATCTGAATGAAACCTAATTTATTCTCCATTTTGGGCACCATGATAAAAGCGCAAAAATTTAAAGTACTCCTGCGCATAATTTACTCCAGTTTCTTTAAGAGACACCCCTTTACTGCTTGTTTTCTGTCAATACAAACTTCTTACTTTGGGTAGAATGTTGGGTTAGTAGAGGGGCCGTAGGTAATCATCAGTTTCGCAGAATCTTATACTGATCATTAGCCTTTCTTTTCCCCTAGACATACAGTCAGCAGACTTAGCTTGCTACAGGTTACAATAATAATAATATTTAATACTTATGTTGCGCTTTTTCTATAAAAATACTCAAAACCTTCCTTTATTGATTTGCCAAGCAATGGTTGAATTAATTTTAACATTATTGCAAAGGGAATCTGAACTTCAGCACAAGTGCACTATACATTATTCATACTACTTTATCTACGCTCTGTGCTTCTTTGCTTGTTCTGTCGACCTTGCTCGACTTGACATTTTCAATTTCCGCCGCTAAAAAAATTATAATTATTTGAATTTAGTAAGTTTAAAACCTCAAACTTACTTCACTTCTTGGGTAATTGGTGATCAGGACGGATTTTCGTTGCAAACAGAGTTCCAGCTGAGAAATGTTGTGATCAACATATCACGAACATGGGAAAAAGAAAAAATCTGAGTGCCCAACAATCTATGATCCTCTAAATTCCTTCACCGAGCTTAAAATTTGCCATCTTTCTTTAAACATCACATACATGACGATTTCGGGAGGAACACTAGGGGTATTAACACCTTTTTCCATACTTGAAAAACAAGCCGTTTATTTTCTTTCGGAACTATGCTTAAGTGTACCATAAGGGACTGTAATTAAGAAAAGGAAAGGAGTATTTTTGGAAAATTTTTTATGTGTCTTTCAACGTTTTGTCTAAAGGTTCACTGTTTCCTTAACAGGGTGAAGTATAATGATGGCTTAATATAATGATTGTTTTGATTTCATTTGGTCTTTTAGTAAGCATTACTATGACCACTGTATGAGGTCCTGTGCTTTTGCTACAGATGGAAACACTCCTTGCACAAGAAATTACCATAGTTTAACGCGTATACTATATAGATTTAGCCAGAGCTAAAAGCGAAGCTCCCGTCACAGCTGTAATTTACTTGAAGCAGTGAACTTGGAAATGTTGTAATAAAATACACAGATCTATTGTTAACCTTAGGGGACAACCACATGACGTTTGAGGGAGGGGTTCAATAGACAAGAAACAATTGCTTCTAAAACAAAGTTTTAACTGGAGCCTGCGATCAATAGGAAGTTAAGCTAGACTGTTCACAGTCCCCTATTTTTTCGTGAGGTCGTCTCTATTTTTCTCGCTTCCTCCCAACCCGCCCCCGCCCCCTAAGTAGCTTTGACACTCATACAAGATGGCAGCCGTAACGCAAAGCGCTCCATCTCGACGATCTTACGGAAAAATAGAGGACTGTAAACAGTCTAACGTTAATCGGACTTGTCATTAGAAAACCCGTATAAGACGCTTGGCCTCGATAAGTTGAAACCTGAGCCCGTGAGACATGTGATACTGGTCGCAAGCGCGGCGGAGCCTCAATTTCTATAGTAATTGGAAACCTAACAATAAGGGGAAATTTGATTATGACGTCAGCGTGCACCTACTCGACCGTACAGACTGTCAGGGAGGGACGGGGAAGTCCAAGACATGCACTTTGCGTTTGTCTTGGCGAAAAGTTGTCCGATAAACCTAGAGGCAACTAATGGAGTTGTTCCAGTAAAAATGTATATGTTTTTCTCTTGCAGTAAGTACACAGGAAGACTACATGAATACAACTGGAATGACACGTGACATTTATTCTCAAATGACGCCACAAAGCATTTTCTTTAACGTGGATGGTGCTAGAAAATTGTGAGAATTTTCATAACAAAAACTTATCTAAACACCGTAAACTGTAAATTTATCTTGTAACTTGGAAAAAGTCAGTTATCTTATTAGGTATTGACCTGGTTAATAATGATCAGCGCGAATTAATTTTTAAGAACCGTTCCATGAGTCTGAAATGTACCTTGAAAAAAAAGTTTCTCGTTATTTTAGCGTGAAAAGTTTGACAGTATATTTTCGATTTAAAGTCAGGGGAGCAAAAAAATAATAATTTCTTAAGTGTCGTGGCTCTTGGTGACGTACAGGTACATTGCTAAGGCCACTGAGTTACCCTTGCAGTTCATTTTTCAGAATCATCGATGGAAGCAAACTGCTTAAAAAGACATTTCTTGAAATATGCATAGACCGCTTCATTTGGTAATCATGCTTTTTGGGGGGCGAGATCGATACTCCCTTGTTTGTGTACCCCGGCATTGCCTTCGTCTCGGACACCAAAAAGTATACCCCCAAACTGCCGAACATCCATGTCTCTGGGGCGATAAGCATCCGTGTCTCGGCGAAACTGATTAGCATCCATGTCGTGGGGATAGTTGGCTTCCATCTCCCGGGGATAATCAACACTCAAGTCGCGGGTAAGCTCATCTTGCCTAAGAAATTCAAACCGTAACATTTGAACTTTATCCAGTACTTTTGCTAAGTATTACGCCTTATTCGAACTGCACAGAAGTTACGATTTTTACTATTTAAATAA